CCATTTTTATGGTTCTTTTTGATATGAACTAAGCACTTAGGCTAAATGAAGATAATCATCTGTTTCTGATGCCAAACCATCTAAGAGCCTTGAAATTTACCCTTTAAACATTTGAATTAGGTTAATTCTTATGAACATGTTACGATATGTATAAAATTCACTTAAAAACTGATTTTAAGGGAAACCTGCTTTAAAACAACACAAGTAAGGTTAAAGGTTAAATTCTAATTATATCCAAGTATTCTAACTTAATGATAGCACACTGTGAAGTGTCTATACCAGCCCCGTTTGGGGAATGCCACCTTCATGGACACTGTCTGAATTAATGAAAAATGTGTTCTTAAACGTCCAAATTAGGAATTTTCAAGTAACTAATAGAAACAATTGAACCCATGATGGTTTAAGAGAATAGCTTCTAAGATTCAATACCCTCTGTATTTCTATTTTCTTGTATATGTATCATAATTAAGTAATTTTGAGAGATTTCCTTTTGAACAGATATTCTTTTTCACAGAAAATCAACAACAAATTTGAATGTACATATATCATGATATTACATGTAATGCAGGCAATAATTGGGATTTTTTATTCTAATTCACAATTGGAAAAAAAAAACATTATGTCTCGTCATTAAAAATGCCTATTCACAAGTAGTAACTATATATTACAAGGCAAAAAATTACATTGTGTAAGGTGGGTAGATACCAATCCAATCCATTAATATACAAACCGACACATTTCCCACATATGAAAAGTGGCTTTATCTAGAACAAGCTCATGTTGCTAGATAATTCTGACCAACTAATCAAACTGCATGGTTTCATTACCATGACAATAGGTCACCAGTACTCCATTAAAGTCTTAACTACCAGATAACATTAATGGGGGATTAATCATGAATGATTAACATGAAATCGAGTCTTTGTATTCTCGAGAACAATGGCCTACTCTATCTTATCCACTTTACTGTTCTAGTTGGTTTTTTTTACGTAGTTTATTTATCATGTTTATAAAGTAAATAAACAATTTCCTTGTCTCTATACATCACCCTTTTTCACAAATTCTAAATAGGCAATAAATAATATATAAAAATAATGTAAAAATTTGTAACAGTTACATGTAACAACAGTTAAAGGGGTTCCATTGTCTGGTCCAAAAGTCTTAAAACCTAGATATTGAAATTTCTTGCATAGATCAGCTGGAACACTTAATAAAGACAGATATGTGAAAGATAGTAAAGAAATATACTCAGAAATAACTTGAAAATGGTATTTTTGTGCTATTAATTCTAAGGCCGATTTCAATGCTTTTTCAATTTTTGGGTGGGAAAACAGAGTGAGTAAAATGATCTGAAAATCTGCACACAAGTTATTGGTCCAGGCCTACAACAAATGGAACATTGATCATTTTCAAGTCCCGTCATAACAAAAATCTTAATGGAGTCCCTTTAAATGATTCTGTGTTGAATACTTTAAGGTCTAATTAAACATAAGGCTGCGACAATTGAATGTGTTTCTTAGATTCTACAGTAAGAACTGCATGTAAAAGCCAAGTCTTTTAATTATTAATTATTATTGTCAGTCAAAGTGTAACAGTAATTTGAAGTCTCTCTTAATGTTTTAACTTACTATAAAGCCATGAGGGATGCTTTGTTTGCTGAAGCACTGCTACAAACATTACAACTAACATAATTAAATTAACATTTTGGGTAACCATTTCTATTAAGTATTATCAATATATTCATTTTTTTTCATATTAACTCTGGTAAAAAAAAAGAACAGTAAAATTACTCCAATGACCGCATTTAGATTACAGTCAATTGATGAAATTACAATAATTTTGGTCCTTATACTCTCTGGAGAATTATAACATTCTGTTGTATAGCCCTAACTTAATTCACAGAGAAAACCAAGGTTATATACACACATTTTTTGTATCTACTATAGACCTGTCATTATTGGCACATATTATATAGGTATTCTGAATGCATGGTATGGGAACAATTGCTGTGCACAGTCTATGTAAAATAAACTCAGACAATTCAATTTCTATTCTAGAAAACATACAAAAGAGAATGCGAGATGATAAAAAAGTAAAACTTATAAAAAAAAATCATTTATTATGGAAAACTGATCAATGGAATAGGGAAAAAAAGAAGACATGTGCATTTATAATGATTGTACTTTTGTAACACTTAAATTAAATTTATTTACAATTTTCAAATTTCAGGACAATTTTTTTCCTGGGTTTTACTCACATTTATGTATACAATATGTCATGTAATATCATCATCATGTATCTTTTACATTTTTAGCTCTTTTATTAAATATTTGTCCAACATTTGAAATATTGAATGTCACTCTTTTTTCTTCTAAATGTTTAACTAAAAAAAACATTTGAAATGTTAAAATAAAATTATTGCCTTCCAAAGTAAATCCAGTACAGCAGTAATTCTTGTTTTCTTTAGTGTTGTTGAAATTTTCATAACACTGGAACAAAATTAGTTCTAAATACTACTTAAATATCAGGATTGGCTGGCTGTATTTCATATAAAATTAATATCTTTTTTACAACATAACTTGAATTTAAACAACAAAATTTGCAATACAAGTTACAAACCATGTCACTTTTACCATTTCAATGAATAACATCATGTGCAAAATTTCTTGATTTATATCTTATTCATGAATCTTTCAACAATGAACAGTTTCTCCCATCAAATTTCCTTAACAGTGGGCTTTACAGCATCAACAGAAAGGGTCTATTCTACTTAGGTATCATATGGTATTACAGTAATAGATTTATATGACATTTAAGAGATATTTTTCAATGGCTTAATTCTTCCTCACTGCCCCCATGCTGCTTCACTTATTTTAACTGCATTCTCCATCAATTCTTAAGCTCAGCTTGATAAGTTTCAAACTAGGTGTAGCTTATGCAAATGTATTTCAACACTCCAGTGAATATACAGCAGGTAAAAAGAAAATAACAAATATCATAAAAACAGGCTGATAAAATCTATAAAAAGGAGATTTTCAGAAACTTTTGTATACATGATAATCATTAATTAACAAAACATTTTATCATAATTTAAATCAATTTGTACTTTAACAGGTCATGATAAGATTGTACTTACACATTAGTTTATAGTACTATTGATAAGACAGTATGCTGATTACAGTGAAAGTATACCATATATAAACATGCAATGGTATCCGTTTGGTATATCATAAGGGGAATGTTTAAAAATCATTTTTAGGAAGTAAAAACATAATATGAATGGGAAATCAATGCATGGTCAAAAAATATGCTGCCCTCATAGAGGGAAGAAAATTACAATAATTATTATGTTAATATAATTATATTTCATTCTGTCATTGTCATTGCAAAGACAGAACTCTGCTCATACCCCAGGGAACTGCTACACCACATCAAGATCAATTAATGGGGGAGTGCATAATTATCAGTATGCTTGACTATAGATTACTGGAGGTTACGTACCACGGAGGATACGTACCAGGAGGTTACGTACCATTTTTGGAGGTTACGTACCACTTATATATTTTGGAGGATACGTACCATATATATAATTTATATAAAATACAAATAATATAGAGCATAACAATTATAAAAAAAGGACCGAATTATAACTTTAATATTACTTTTTAAAAATCACATAAGAGCAATTAATATAAATGCAAACGTTTTACCGATATCTATGTATGATTATCACACATTCAGAAATGAGTAATCTAACAAATCACAAACAAATTGCAAACTATTGACATATGAGTGAATACACTGATTTATAATTGCAAGTCTCCGTTAAGTAATACTGATTTTTTAAAATGAAATTTTGCGGCGATCAACTTTTACAGAAAGCAAGCATGCATAATTTCTTTCTTAATAAGAAAACTTATTAATATTTAATTTCAGGTTGTTGACAACTCGCAATAAGAAGTAGACCACCTTTAAGTTCCAGCAATGTTACACGGCACTACGAGTGCTGTAGCTGACATGATGGAAGTCGAGCAACGGCTGGCACATATTTTTAAAAATACTTGTTAATTGTGTATTGTTGTTTCATTTCAGAGCGTGTAACATAATTATTGTTATTTTCATTTTATGCACGGTTCAGTTAACGTGTAAATGAAACTTAATGTAATGTATAAATGATAAAATATGTAACGCTTGTTTAGTTTTTTTTATTCAAGGTAAGTAATTTTGTCCGGTATATTAACATGCATATTATTATTGCTTTTGATTATTTTGTTTATTCAGTTAATTTCAGTTAAATGCGTATAAATAAAACAATAATACTATAAATGAAAAAAAAATGTTTGTTTTTTTATATATTAGCTGTGGTTTGTTTCATTGTACTGTTCATTTCAGTTTAGTGCGTGTAATTATATTAGTGTTATTAATTATTTTAAGTTTGGTGTTGTAAATAAAACTTGTTATTATCGTTAATTGCGGTTTGTTGTTTATTCTTATATATTCATACATATTTAATCTCATTACAAAATACAATTAATGCGCGAATTTGAACAATAAACGTGATATAGTTTCACACCTTATCCCTTATTATCACTTTATTATATATTTCTATAGTGGTACGTAACCTCCAAAAATGGTACATTTATGCAGTGGTACGTAACCTCCAAATTCCTGACTATATATATGCCTTTATTTCTTCAGGGGCTTGAAATAGAACTTAAAGGTTTCTTCAAATGTTCGATTTTTAATAGTATTAATATCAGTTTTCTTCCAATGCCAGAATGCTTCACTACAAAACCTAAAAATCTCTTTGTGTAACTAAATATCTTAAAACAAACAATGTTTAGTATTTCTTTCAACTATTTCTTTAAAGATACCTGAATAATTAAATTACAGGTAAGATTTACCTGTATTTTATAAAAAGCATTTTCCCCAGTGAACATTTTATGCATTAATTTTAAATTTTCATTTTATAACCTTTTTTTAATTTGATTAATACTTACTAATTTCCAATAACACTACTTTTGTCGAAATTTTGTGCTCCTGGTAATCTCTTTAATTCCTGATGTTGTGCGACAGAAAATCCAAAATAACTATTATCCGGTCCTTCTTTAATCACTGGAATAACAGTGTCTAAATTAAATCCTAAAACTGTCACTAAATGTATACATAAAATTACACAGGTGTGTAATAAATTTATATTAGGACACTCCGCCATTATCTGTTAGGTGACAATTTAGTGTCGCACCTGTTCACGAGCAAAAATAAGATTAATTTTCAGCTCCACATAAAATATATTTCAAGCATATAAGAACAAAAAATTATGCAATAATACTTATTTGATTTAAATTATCCAACACACTGAGGATACAATCGCATTGTATTGTGTTCAATGACACTACACGCTCCTGAAAATATGTGTTTTAGCAAGAGTTGTCTCCCTTTGACAATGTCGCAGAGGGCGTCAACTTAGCTAGTTACTTCCGGGGAAAAATGTCAACAAGACAAAGATGTGACATGTAAATGGAAAATATATTTTAAATAGTAGAACATATCGCAATAAGAATTCGAAGAAAATGTTATCAAACTTAATTAAAGTACACCAAGCCAAACAGTCGGCGAGAAAAGAGAGACAAGGTAGAATTGTCACATGTTTTCGCGAGTTTAAAATTATTATGATAGATATCTTTATCCATGGTCAAAGGTAATTTGATGTGAAAAAATATTTTCCAGAATTTAGTTAGATTGTTCTTCCCCTTGACAGTTCCTTCCATTACTTTTCCTATCCATTTGTTTGTGCTACTTCATGATTTCACCAACTATTAAACAAGTACTGGACCCCTGACATGCCATGACATTTAACAGGCCAATGAGATTAATTCTTTATGTACAGTCACCCGCAACAATATGAAAAGAAGGTAGCCCTGCAAATACCGACAATATGTCGGTCAAAAGCTATACATAGCTTATGTTTTTGTAAAATGTTATATATGTATACCGACAATAAATAAATTTTGATTTGATTTGAGTGCTAGGCCTAGGGGCTCATGCAAAATATCCAGGGACACTGTCCAAGACTCAAACATGTAATGAAATCTTCCTCGTTGTTAATGTCTACACACTGAAAAAAGATAGTATGAAAAACGACAAGCCCGCTGTCAAGCATAGATGTTGTTGAATGTTGTGATACTGAAAGAATTTGTTTAAAAAAAAAGATTTTATTAAGTGACATAGGCCTGACATTATTTTCACTGCTGTTGAAAAGACTACTTGCTTATAAAGCAATATTGAGTAATTAAACTGAAAATCAACACATAAAAATTGATATTTTTTCATTATTTGTTTGCTTGTTTTTGTTTGCAGAGAAAAAGAAAAGAGAAGCAATAATTGCAGCATCTGCACTAACTCATTCCCTGGTGGATCACCTGAATATAGGGTATGAAACTTAAATACAAACTTAAGATTTATTAAATAATTTTAATTATGTCTTATTCTGCTAGCGGCAACTGAATCCACCAATGCAACCACTGCAGACCAGAATCAGCTGGTATATCTACTGTAGGCACTGGTCGCTATTCAAAATCTGTTAGTACTGTGAACTGTGTGAACAGTGCCTACAGTGAAATTTTAAAAAAATCCCTAAATGATGAATAATTTTATCCATATTTAAAGATGGACTTGGCTATTTAGGATATTTAGCAGGTTAAGGGTTAATTTGGACATAATTATACTTATAATAAAACCATAAGCTTACAGATTGATAATAAAATTATAACCAGTTTGATTGTACAGGTACAAGTACATGTTATAGGCTTTATCATGTACAGTTAAACATCTGTTATACAATAGTGATATTCATTGTAAGAATTAAAACAATTAAAATGTTCAAATACAAATGTTTATGTATCATAACATTTTTCAAAATATAAGCAAGTCAAGAATAATGATTTTTCTTATCTTAAATGCTAATATTATTTATAATCCTAAAGTGATCCATTTCTTATTTCTATATAATTATGTGTAATTGAAAATAAATTGATAAGCCAACAAAAATTTAGTGTAATTTAATTTGATTTGTTTCAGAGTTTCAAGTGTATATATATGTCACCTTTTTTTGAAACAAAGAGTCTATTAGAGTGATTAGAAAAAAAAAATGACTTGATTTCTTTCAGAGTGGCAAATGCATATGTGAACCAGAAAAAGCTGGATACTGAAACAAAGATTCTGCAAGCCAATGCTGCTCAGTTTTCAAAGCAAACAACACAGTGGCTCAAACTGGTGGAGGATTTTAATACAGCTTTAAAGGTTTGCTTTATAATAGACACATACTCATGATGATTAAACTTACATAGCGGTGGCATACTGTACTGTACAGGCATCTGCGTTTCAACCCATGGAATGGTGGTGGTGGTGGTAGTTTTCATGGCAGTAAGCCAAAGTGAATTTACCAGAGCACAGTTTACCCATCTATGCTGTTATATGCTGTCAAGCAGTTTACCAGTACTAGTTGCCTTCACTTTTGCAAGGAGCTGATAACTTCTGTACATGCAACAGCAGAGGTACAGTGTGAATGGTAGTAGAAAGGATTTTATGATCAATCTCAACGAAAGTGATTTGCACCATTTGGGAATTGAACTCGGGTTGTCCGAATCCCAGTCCAACGCTCTAGGTATTGAGCTAACCAAACAGTTCAATCCTTGGAATGTGGTTCCATCACTTTATTTAGTGAGTCTGGGAGTCAGACACTGGAAGCATTTATATGAACAAGTATTTTATAATATTAATAAATGTGATACATGAACTTGCTTTTACTATAGGGCTCCAATAAATATGATTAACTAGGATGCATAATTATTTACAATAATTATTATTGTACTGAAACATTACATGTTGTTGGCAATTTTCTGAATGTTACATTTTTTTTGTAAGATTTTAAATATGTTTTATAAAAGTTCTGTAATAGTTCTGTTTTGATTGGGTTGTAAGTCAAAAGAAATATGGTAAAGATTATTATGGTAACTTTCCAGCTTTACTGGTAGAGAATGATAGACAAATGATAGATTATACCAAAATCACTTGCATGAATGCCAAAAAAATCATCTACCTTTTGTTTGATACCAGGGTAGTTTCATCATTATAAGAATTAAACGTCTCTGGTAAGATTTGAACCCACAACAAATAGGGACAAGTGATTCTAAGACTATGATCATTGCCATTCAAAAATATTTGTTAATAGCTTGACTGTTCAAAGAATAGGGAGAGCTATTGTACTCTTGTCAATGTTGGTGTGCCGTCAAAATTTGGTTAAGTTTAAGCAAGCAAGTTGATTATGATATAATCTCCAAAGCTGCTGAATAGTATGAGTTGAAACTTCACATATTTGTTCTCTGTGATTATCTATGTATTTCAGTTTGTTTTATCTTTACTTACAGGAAATAGGGGATGTTGAAAACTGGGCAAAAAGTATTGAAACAGATATGAGGACTATATCAAGTGCCCTGGAATACACATATAAAAGAAGTAAGTCAGTCAAAGTTTTTTTAACCTCGACCATGCTAAATTTCTTAAATAGACATATCTGTCTTTCATGGACTAATAATATCTATCATGTTGCAGTTAAGATTGGAATATCTGTCCTGAGGGGACCTGCCCATGGACAGGTACTCAATGGCAGATATTCTAATCTGAAGCACAAAAAGACATTTCCCTATTTTCAGATATTTTTTTCTTGTATATACCTACATATTCTATTATAATTTAAGTTCTCTTCCTCAATAAATCAATTTTTCATGAACACTTATGTCAATTTTTCTTACAAATTAATAGCGTAAGTATTTACAACTTCGTTCATAAGGCTGCAATGTTTCATTTTTAATAAAGCCGAAATTATGTCATTTTAACACTGTTCATTTATGGACTAAAATGTCACCATTGTATAGCACTTGAAAGCAATGCAGTAAGACTACCTGAAATATGTTAAACATTTATTTTTTTCTTTCAGATGAAAGTTAGCCATAAGACTAGAGATCTGTGATACATATTTTAGTTGTAATGGTTGAAAATCACATAGTTCAGAGAACAGATACTTTGACTGTTAACCCAACTTTGGATATATTAAAGCTATGGAAAGACAGTTGCAAAGATACTTTGAAGGTTGAAAAAAAACTCTTAAAATCAGACAAAGAAGGATTTGTATGTACATTTCCTAATTACTCACAAACTTTGTATTGTACAAAATATATAAATGTATATATATGCTTAAATGATTATACAAAATGTACTTTCTGGTCTTCATTGATAGAATGCTTTTTGTATAAATTCATCTGGGAGAACGACTTATAATTTATATAAGAAGCCATTGTATGTGTGGAAGCAATATCCATATTGCACTTTGTTCCTTTTGTTTTTGATTTCGTATTTTAAGATGAAAAAACATATTATATTTTAATGCATACACAATCTGTTTTTGCTCACAATGGATGCAAACACAAATTTAAAACAAGAACCCGTATAATTTTTTTTTCTTATTACAATAATCATTAACTTGGTATCAGAGCATTTTTTTCATCAGTTAAGAGGGTTAATGTACATTACATCTCGACATAAAGGAGGATTCTTGAAGTTAAAAGTAAAAATGTAAGAGAAACGAAAGAAATGACTGTGAATGTTAGAGTAAAATTTTGGCCCTTACTTCATTTAATAAAGAAAAAGGAGTGAATTTGGTTAGAATTTTATATAAAATGCTGTTTAAGCATGCATATTGTATTTGTTTGATGATGGCTTAAGTATATTAATTTATTATATACCTATAAATTTTCTCCCTAAAATTCAAGCAAATCTTGAAGCGCTTATGCCCTTCAATTGATAGAAATATCTGTATTATGTTAGTGACAAAAATGTTTTAAATATAGAAATGCTGGATTATTTTTCTCTATTGGTTCCCATTTTAGCTGTGCATTATGTAGGATTTTGGAATCGAGAAGAGATACCTTGTAGGGTGTGGCCTCTTCAACAAAAATGATGCATTCATCCGTCATTCATGAATATTATTTCTTGCCAGCTATATTTTGTGAAAATAACTGATAGACGTTCAGTAGATTGTATCTCTTTATGTCTAAGAATTTTATAGGTATAAAATAAAAGGATATTATTGTCATCTTAATGTAGTAATGGGTTGACTCCTTATATAATTTAATACGAGTTAACCAGTTACTGCACTAAGGTGACATAATGTTGTAGTAGCTTTCTGAGGTGATGTATTTTGCTACGTACTTGCATCCTGAGAAAATTGATAATTGTGAGACCAAAGGTCAATTATGTCAATTTTCCAATGTTGCATGTAGATATTACATTTTCTTCAACAGTACAAAGTATGTATTTAATTATATAGAAAATGAATGCTTGTTTTTTAATATTAATGTTTGTGTGTTATATTTTTTGCTAAAAAGACTAAGATTGGACACTTTTTGTTGAATGATACACGTGTATATGAAATTGATTTTGTTTGTATGATAAAATGCTATTATGTTATGTATTATTTATTTTTGAAATGTAAATGCAAATAAATATATGAAAACTGTAAAGTTGTTTTCTTAGTTTATTGGATTTAAAGTTTAACAACAAGCTGTTGGGAAAGACAAATACTTGAATTAAAGCAGCATGCCTCCAGTTTATGCTAATTTTCATGAAAATTTTGAAAACATACTTAAAAGTAAAATACTATAACATGAACAATGAAAGTAATTTACACATTGCATACAGCATTTACATTCCATGTAAATTACAACAGAGGCCAAAAGATGCAACATAGCCCTTACTTCACTAGTCACACAGTGGAAATATGGTGTCATTTTTCACAAGTTTGTCATTGAAAATTTTGGCTCATCTCAATGCATGCAGCTATAAACATCTTTCTTACACCCTCTTAAAATTTCTATAAGTAATAAGACATGCATGTATGGTCCCCATTTCAGAATTGCTTCAGTTATTCAGAGTATAAAGCTGAATAAAGAAAACCTTTCAGTGACTTGTTCTCATGAACTTATGAATAGATCTTCCCAAGACTTGAATGGTTCTATCTTAGGTTAATGTACAAAGACTTCAGTAAAGCACAACACAAGTATATGTAGTTGAAACAGGAAACTTTCATAATTATGTTGTCTTTATAATGTAACCGTTGAACTTACCAGTGAGGTCAGATTGGAACAACCCCTAGCCATAGCATACTGGTAATACTTGTAAATGACTGTAAACATGACCTGCTGAAATGTTTACTTGTAGAGATAATGATTATGATGACATATAAGAAAATTTCCATAAGGTCGCCAATTATAATTTAAGAAAGTTATTTACTTGACCTCTTGTGATTGCAACAATATAATATTTGTTATGCTATTTCAACAAAATCCTAATCTGAAATGAACAAAGATAAAAAAATTTTTTAAAGGATACTGCAATCGTAGTGAGCAAAAAATTTACAATTATCTTAATGTGTTCTTTATAGCAATTCTACATTTTTTTTTGTACATTTTTTTTTGCAACCAATATAGGATTAAAGGGTTTTTTGACATGACGTGACTTGAAATATTTTTCCGGAAATTTGTATATTATTTGATGTAGATCTAGACCAATAACTTGTGTGCATATTTTCAGATCCTTTTTTGCACCATTTTTCAAGAATAATTATTTCAAATTTGCAAAATGACCCAAAATGAAAAGGCTGCAATGCTATCCACTTAAATCGGACTTAGAATTGCACACAATCAATCAATATTCAATTCAATTCTGAGTATTTTCTTTTCCTTTCCAGATTTTTCCATTTTAAATGATTAACTTCATCTATAGTGTTTTTAGACTTTTTGACCTCAGTGAAACGCCTTCAATATCAATAATATAGGAAAATATTCAATATAAATAATATAGGAAAATATTCAATATCAATAATATAGGAAAATATTCAATATCAATAATATAGGAAAATATTCAATATCAATAATATAGGAAAATATTCAATATCAATAATATAGGAATATATACGAAGAGTATCAACATAAAATTTTGACCAGCAGGACTGTTGAAAATTCTTCTTACATTTGAGATAACAACAGAATAATTTTGCTTTATGAGTTTATTTACATTTCTATTTAACAAACATAACAAAATAATTTATTATATAACAATATATCACTTCATTATCACATCCTGTTTAAAATAAAATTAAATACCTTATTTCATTATACACCCTCACTTATTTGTTTTAAATATATCTTTAAAAGCGGTCCATAAATCTGAATACGACACTTTTTGTGGCGACTCAAATTTCTTGAAAATGTCACCATGATACGAAACACCCGTACCTTCAGGTAAATACTCCTGAATATTACTACTCACACGTTTATATTCTTTCTCAAAGTTATAAGTCATCATTTGCTTGTCTAAAATAGGAACTATAAGGTTATAGTTAAATATCTTGTTATTTATATCCTTCAAGGATGTTTTGAAAGTTTCTGTAATGTCCGCCATATTGGCCTCTCGGTCCTCCGGGCGTGTAAGGTTTTCACATCTTTTTATGTCCTTTGCTAGTTTCTGTCTACAAGCACGTATGTCTTCTCTAAATAGAAAGATACAAAATGGATTAAAATAAAACATAAATATGCATCTAGCAAACACATCTTATAACAAATGTATCAATAGTTTGACAAGAGGGTCAAAATAACCCAATAAATTAACAAGATCAAGATGCAAATCTTAAAGCCCCAAAAGAGACAGTACGTTACTACCAAGTGGATTATAAAATGTCCACCTCTCTACACTGGCATTGTGGTTCTAACTCAAACCAAGGAGGTTACCATACTTCATTATCAGACCCCAACTATAATTTATTCCAGAAATCCAAAAATAATCATAATAAGACCTTATTCACAACTGAACTTTAATGAATACATTTATGTTTAAACTAGTAGTAACTGAACCTCAATTCAACATTTTGTCTTAAAATATCACTCCACACAAAAAGAAAATCTTAAAAGATAAAAATCTCTCTTAATTAGATTTGTGTCTTTTATTTTAACTTAATTTGCTTGACCTTTAAATGGTGTTTTACAATGTTGGACATAGTGCTCTAACACATTATGAGCTAATTCTGAGACAGGGCCAAATTTGGCCATTAATGAACCCTTTTAACCGGAATGGTTACCGTCTGCTGATTATTATGCGAACAACGTTACCCTTAAAGGGACTCCACTGAGGTTTTTTGACATGACTGGACTGAAAATAATTTTTTGAGATTATTACTCCATTTGATGTAGATCTATACTAATAACTTATGTGCAAAATTTCAGATCATTAGCTTGCTCCGTTTTTCCAGAATAATTATTATAATAGTGAAAAATGACCCAAAATTGAAAAGCGTTTAAATGCTTTTCACTCAAATCGGACTAAAATAGCACAAACATATGATTTTCAATGTATTTCTTCTATATTTTTTGGTTATATTTTATTAATATTTATGTTTTAAGTGCTCATGTTTATCTATGTGAAAAAATAAAATTTATGTTTTGAGGCTTATAAACCTCTGTGGAGTTCCTTTAACCTCTGTTCTGGAACCAGTAGTGATAAACATTTTCCGCCAGTATTGAGCCTGTACATTCGTGTAGTCGGACCAGGCTTGATTTTTGTATTTTTCCATTGAAATCCCTTTGAATTTTAGTGGACTGATCCAAATCAAAGAAGGGCAAATCCACCTCACAAATTAAACAGATTACAATATAAAATGAAAATACATGCCTTATTTCCTTTTGTTTAGATATCCAGTTTGGTAGTAAATCCTCGTCAAGCAAAATCTGATTGAGTTTTTGTGTAGTACGGTCCATGTATGGATTATCTTTGCTGAAATCTAGTGGTTTGCCCATCCCTGAAAGGTTATCAAAGTGACCTTGAGACATGGACTCTACAATCATATCCTCCACAAGTCTGTCTAGTGTGTTACTGTAATATAAAGAAAAAAAATTTTTTTGCTTGACATTTCATTATCAATGGATAAGAATCACAAATGAAAAAAAAATATTCATCAGTATGAAAATTAATAGATTGTCATTGATAACAACAAATAGGCATTAATGCACTAATAATTAATGCTTTCATATGATTCTTAACAATTTAACCGTATTTCAATCGCTGATATATAAAAAAACGCATTCAAGTTTTTCCAGCAGCATAAATGAAGAAGAAAAAATCAAAACTAGTAATGTGTCCATGGGACACGGGTGCCCCCACACTCCACCAATTTGTCAATCTTGTGTCTCTAGGTAAAATTTTTTTTTGGCTACATATGCCCAAATTGAAAACTAAAAATCTTTTATTAAGTAAAGGGCAAATACTACAAATAATGAACAAGAGGGTAATGATGGCCCTGAGTCGCTCACAAGAAACAACAGCTTATCAGTGTTGGAATGTCAATATATTCTATTAAATTTGAGCATAGAATATGTTTAAACGATAATTTGAAGAAATGCCATGTCCTGAGGCATTTAAGCTTTAGCTTAAACGGGGCTAATCAAATTAATATGAGCAAACTTGATAAAAGACTACCTAAGAATGCTACTAAGTTTGGTGATCATCTATCAATTATTTCAGTAGGAAATGATGTTCGGAGGCTTTTCCTATTTTAAGCTTTAGTGGCCCCTAAAAGGGGCCAATCAAATTAATATAAGCAAACTTGATAAAAGAGTACCCAAGAATGCTACAGACAAAGTTTGGTGATCAGCCATTAATTAGTTCTGTAGGAGAAGATGTTTAAACGTATTTCTATTTTTAATTTTAGCGGCCCTAATCAAATTAATATGAGCAAAATTAATAAAAGACTACCAAATAATGCTACAGACAAAGTTTGGTAATCATCCATCAATTAGTTCTGTAGCAATAGACTTTTAATTGTATATCTATTTTTAATTTAAGCGGCCCCTAAAAGGAGCCAATCAAAATAATATGAGCAAACTTGATAAAAGACTACCCAACAATGCTTCAGACAAAGTTTGGTGATCATTCATCCATTAGTTCTGTAGAAATAGACATTTACAGGTATTTCTATTTTTAGCTTTTGTGGCCCCTAAAAGGGGCCAATCAAATTAATATGAGCAAACTTGATAAAAACACCTCTCGAGAATGCTACAGACAAAGTTTGGTGATCATTCATCCATTAGTTCTGTAGAAATAGACATTTAAAGGTATTTCTATTTTTAGCTATAGAGACCAGTAAAAGGGGCTAATCAAATTAATATGAGCAAACTTGATAAAAGACTACCCAAGAATGCTACAGACAAAGTTTGGTGATCTTCCATCAATTAGTTGTGTAGAAATAGACATTTTAAGGAATTTCTATTTTTAGCTTTTGCGGCCCTTAAAAGGGGCCAATCAAAATAATATTAGCAAACTTGATAAAAGACTTCATAAGAATGCTACAGACAAAGTTTGGTGATCATCTATCAATTAGTTCTCTAGAAAAGGGGAGATAAATCAGTTTAAATGCAAAATAGAGTTATGGAACTTGGTCAGTGACATACAATTATGACCCTTCATGCATATGTAGAGTTTCAAATCAAAATCTCTGATAGTTATTGAGATATGTAAAGCTTACATGTAAACATTAACCAAGAGACTAAGTAAACAGGGGGGAGATAAATCAGCCTAAATACATGACACAGATATGAGTTCTGTTCAGTGATTATTATTTATGACCACAAATAAGTACATGTGTAAAGTTTCAAGTAAATATTTTTGATAGTTCTTAAGACCTTTAACCAAAATTTCTAAGTTTCAAAGGGGCATAATTCTGCAAAAATGCAGGCAGAGTTATGCAACTTTGCAAATTGATGTACATTGTTACTATAAAAAAGTATTGTAAATTTCAATTGAATATCTCATGCCATAATTGAAATATTTGACTTTACAAAAAACTTTACCAAAATTTCTAAGTTAAAAAGGGACATAATTCTGTAAATATTGTAGGCAGAGTTATCCAACTTGTCAATCTGATGTACATTGTTACTAAAAAAAAAGTATTGTAAGTTTCAAGTAAATATCTCGAGCAATAATTGAGATATTTGACTTTACAAAAAACTTTAACCAACCGACGCAGTTGCCGGAGAAACTGCAATAGCTCTCGATATTCTTCGAATATGTTTCCTTCAAGTAATAAACATGACAACAAATATTGCACTGGCCATGTTTCCTTCAAGTGATAAACATGACAACAAATATTGCAAACACCATGTTTCCTTCAAGTGATAAACATGACAACAAATATTGCACTGACCATGCTTCCTTCAAGTGATAAACATGACAGCAAATATTTCACAGGCCATGTTTCCTTCAAGTGATAAACATGACAACAAATATTGCACTGGCCATGTTTCCTTCAAGTGATAAACATGACAACAAATATTGCAAAGACCATATTCCTTCAAGTGATAAACATGACAACAAATATTGCAAAGACCATGTTTCCTTCAAGTGATAAACATGACAACAAATATTGCACTGGCCATGTTTCCTTCAAGTGATAAACATGGCAACAAATATTGCAAAGACCATGTTTCCTTCAAGTGATAAACATGACAACAAAACTTGCACTGGCCATGTTTCCTTCAAGTAATAAACATGACAGCAAATAAATCACAGGCCATGTTTCCTTCAAATGATAAACATGACAACCAATATTTCACAGGCCTTCTTACAGTGATAAACATGACAACAAATATCTCACAGGCCATGTTTCTTTCAAGTGATAAACATGACTGCAAATATTTCACAGGCCAGGTATCCTTCGAGCGATTAACATGACACAAAATATTGCACAGACAATGTCTCCTTCAAGTGATAAACATGACAACAAATATTGCACTGGCCATGTTTCCTTCAAATGATAAGCATGATAACAAATATTTCACAGGCAAAGTTTCCTTCAAGTTATGCTATGTTTCCTTCAAGTAATAAACATGACAATAGATATTTCACAGGCCATGTTTCCTTCATGTGATAAACATGACAGCAAATAAAATACTGGCCATGTTTCCTTCAAGTAATAAACATGACAGCAAATATTTCACAGGCCATGTTTCCTTCAAGTAATAAACATGACCGCAAATATTTCACAGACCATGTTTCCTTCAAGTGATAAACATGACAACAAATGTCTCACAGGCAAGTGATAAACATGACTGCAAATATTTCACAGGCCAGGTTTCCTTCAAGCGATAAACATGACACAAAATATTGCACAGACCATGTTTCCTTCAAATGATGAACATGACAACAAATTAAGTATGGTATCTCTTGCACAAAGTTTATCAATTGCCTAAATTTGGAGGTTTTAAGTGTATTCCAGGTCTAATATTTATTCCATCTTCAGATAATACCCTGTTCCCTCTTTATCAAGGAGTTTGCTGTTTATTTTATGAATCACATACATGCCACCAGATACATGTAAGCCAAAGTATTTAAATACAAGCAAAATTTGGAAAAATTTACTAAGATTTTAGAAAAGTAAAAAGATTCAAGATTTAAGTAATAATTTACTTGTTATCTGATATTTCAGAATTTATAACAATTTCTACTGCGTTACTAACACAGTAAGGGTTATTTTTGCATATTTTTACCTCTTTATGGTAATATACGTGGGTTGCATGTGCAATTGATAATGTGTAAATTGCTTCCTTCTGGTTATCTCAAAATATTATACATCTAAATACATTTTCAAAATTTCATGAAAATAAGCATGAATCTGGAGGCATGCTGCTTTAATCTTCTTCTCTCTTATATTTAGTTATATTTACAAAAATTACAGGAAATGAATCATTGATTTCAACAATACAAATTACCCAAAAAGTGATGATAATTTTTTTGTGAATCTGTGTAATAAAGAGGTAGAGTATTTATCACAAACTGTGAGTGAAACTTCATTCTGAAAATAAAATAATCATGTTTTTCTTTAACAAATATGTTTTAATACATTATAATATTCTATTTAAATAGACAGAATTAAACATATAATCAAGCCTTATATCATCATATGTTTTTTTGACAGAATTTTATAAAATCTAAAAGGTTCATTTTTCAATTAACTCTCATAACAACTGTTAGAAAAGGAAGTGAGTTATTTCCCTTTCATTTCATTCAAAACCAAAAGAGGAAGTAAACATAGTAAAATTTCCACTAATCTTGTCAAACGGAAAAAAAACAAGTTTCAATTGATTATTTCTATGAAATACTTATAAATCCAAGTTTTAAAGTAAGTTTAAAACTTTATTTCATGTTCACAATTTCACATCTACTTGTATATAGAATGAATTATGTAAGAAACACAGATATATATAATATATATATCTATATTTAGCTCCATGGTAGGAAAGTAGTTCAGGCAATACTTCAGACAGTGTTTTAATTTTTATGTCTCCCTTTTATCAATCTCAAAAAAGAAAATATTTGTTTCAATGAATTATGTATCTCAATTAATTAGACATTAACATAATTATGTTTAACATTATAATGTTTATTCACAATTGTCGTGTTATATAAATCTAAATTTCCACATATCTGGTCAAATGAAAAGAAATATTTTCCCTTCATAATTAATTTTCAAGAAATTTAAAGCAGCACTCCTCCAGATTCATGTTAAAATTTATTAAAATTTTGATAATGTATTTGACAGTAAAATATTGTGAGGTGAACAAATCAAGTTATTTACATATTGCAATTGGCACTTACAATCCATGCCAATAACCAAAAAGAGGTCAAAATGTGCAAAAAAAGCCCTTACTGCGTTAGTAAAGCAGTAGAAATATGGTGATAAATTACTGCAAAATCAGTTTTAAATCGCAAATAATATGTAAACTTTAACATTGATATTGATTGTTTTTACCTTTCTTGAAATATTAGTACATTTTTCTCAATTTTCATTTTTTTGAAATATTTTGGCCCACCTGGAGGCGTGCAGCTTTAAAAAAATTCAAAGTTATTTTAAACTTTATTTTATATACACAATTTTTTGTCATTTGTATTAAATGAATTATGTAAGAAAGTTTTACATGAATAATTGAATTAGTGTTTAATTTAAGTGTCTCTCTTATATCAAAATTCTATGAAGAAATATTCAAATTTACGTAATAGAGAAGAAAAAATACCACAACCAAATAAAGAAAAATATGCAATATTCTTGATCAATTGATAACTTTCCGAACTTATTTATCTTATGTTTCATAATGTCCAGATTCAGGGTCTCCTGTTCTGTTCTGTTCTAGGACATAAATGACAAATAAGTAACAAGTAGAAGTCTGTGATAAAATTAATTTGACTGCTTAATGAAATGTTTTTTTCTTTTACTAATATATTACAGAATGTTTCAAGAACCTGACTACAGAGAAAACTTATCCTTGATGTTATCAGAGGTTTTACATGACATTGGTGTCAATGAAAGAATAGTGATGAGTAGGAGAAGAGGAAACATGCTGAGAGAGATTATGAGTAATATCCAAAATAGGTTATCTGGTCTAAATGTAACTAGCTATAATCTAGGGAGTCAAAGTGAAGGTACAACTACTATTGGACTTCATTCAGACATTGATATACTAGTATGTTTTCATGATTGCAATATAATACAAGAATGGTCAGAGTGGGAACCTGACAAGTTAAACTACCTCATGATACATGATGAGAACACTACTCCCGGGTATTGTTTCTTACAACTACTCAGAGATGATGAACCTCTTCCTGCAACTGTCATTCCTGATGAACACCATATTACTGATAGAAGAGGAAGAATATTGTATAAAAACACAATGATTAATGATTTGCTTCAAGGTGCTGATCAGAAGCATGGACCATCTATTGCTGAACAAGGACAACCTGGATTATGTGATAGAGACAGAGTGAGTGCTTTACCCTGTAAATCATGGCCTCAATCAGCATCAGGTTGGTTACAAATACAGGGTATTAGCAGATGGCCAACACAAGAGATGAGAAGATATGCAGCAAGTAATGGGTGTTTTGTTGTTCCAACTGGAAGTAAGGTTAGTGAATATCCTGAATTGGAATGGAGAATATCAACAACATTGGCAGAAAGATGCCTTATGTTCAATCAAAATATAACACAAATAAGGTGCTATGTACTATTGAAAATGATTCTTAAGTCATTCCTTAATCCTCAAGATGAAATTAACATATCAAGTTTCATGTGCAAAACAGTTTTATTACATTGTATAGAAAATACAGAGTCACAAATATGGAAAGATAACAATTTATATACATGTTTAACATACTGCTTATTGGAATTACAAAATTGTGTACATAATGACTGTTGTTCGCATTTCATTACAACGGAAAACAATTTGATGGCAGGGCAGTTTACAGCTGAGACAAAACATGAACTTTCAAAAAATATTTGTGATTTTATACAGAATGATAGACAATGGTTACTAAGTATTGATATTGATGATGTTGGTCATAGACTTCAAGTTAAACTGAACAGGGTACCACATAGAATTTACTATTTTCCTTCTTCCCTTGTAATATATGAAAATGTTAAAACGTTGGCATATATAAACATTGCAAATGACGTAAGTTATCAGCATATGCTTATTTTAAATTTTTTACTCAATAAAAACATTAGAACAATAAAACAATCTATAGGTAAAGTAATGACCTTCTGTGACAATGGTACTAGATTAGAACATGCTGCATTCAAGCTTCTAGCACCTTTCATTTTTACCACATACGGATCTATCCTAGCATCATCCAGCATTGGTGAAAATAATCAAGTGTCACCTCAAGCATTAGTCTGGCTATCAGCTGGTTTAAACTCAGATATCTCATCTAGCAGACTTAAACTGGCGTCAGTGTTTTACAGTACAGGAGATATGGAGAAAGCTGACCTAATTCTGAGACACACCGAACAACAATATTACTCCTATCCTGTTTTACCTATCTGTTACTGCCATCATCAACTCCCAGAAGCAGTAACAGCAGAATTCAAGAGGTTATGTAATGAACAAAGTGAGGACTGTATCAAACATATTACAGCTTTTTGTGTTAGATTTATACAGAAAGAGATCAACTGTGTTCCTAAAGAACTGCAATATGAAATGTTCACACATAAGTATGAAGACTGTTGGATGGACTGGGCTGTAGTTGATTCTCTACCTTTCTTATACTTCCTACAATACAAAATCAATCGTCATCTACAAAGACATCAAGACCAACAACAAGCACTTTGTAAACTCATAAGAACCTTAGAAACAGATAAAAACCTCAAACATAGAGAAACAGCTCTCAACATTTTAGGACAATGTATGGAACAAGAAAACAGACCTCAAGCAGCATTAAAATGCTACATGCTTTCTCTACAACAAAGGGCAAGAAACAATGCAGCAAACTACCATATATGTAAGCTCCTTTCTGGCTTACTGGTTTGCTAATAAAATGGGATCCAAAAAATTATGAAGACTAGTTTTCAATGATAGCAAACAAATTAAAATGTCAAAATATAGGCCTGCCATTACATTTTGTATCACATACTATTTTGAAATACCATTAAACATGTGACATTGAAAGAATGATTCCAACTTCATTGACTTTGAATATGTGACTTTACATTTGAGACTTAAGAGCCTCAAGTGAAGATGACAATATTGCTTAAGTTATGCAAATGCATTTTTGTAAATATTAAATCTTATTTTATAAGATGAAGTTTTTTCCAAGTTTCTTTATACAGTAGTCAAACAGTTTTAACTGTCACCTATATATATACGTGACAATAGAAGACTACATATACATACATACATATATATATATATATATACATACATATATATGTATGAATGTATGTATGTATATGAAGTCTTCTTTTGTTAAACTTGTCTATTTACAGGTAAATAGACTTTTGCAGATGATGCCATTTTTATTCATATATATTTTCCAATTTTGTGATTTTCATATTTGCACTTGAACTGAGAAATTGTTGGCGCATGCCATGGTTTTGTTGTAACGAAGAATAAAAATTTTGGGTAGCCCATACTTGTCTTTTTACAGACCCCACTACCCCAGGTCCAGAACTTACAGCAATGTCAACAAGCCCCTTTGTTTCGTTTGAGCTGCCACACCTGTATATAACATGACCCTGTCTAATGCACTGGTTGCTATGGAAAGTCAGGAGCCACCAATGTGTCAGGTCAATAAGAACAATGTAATGGTCAACTAGAAATGTGTCAATAGGACACGGGTGCCCCCACCGCGCCACTGTTCTGTCAATCTTATGACTCTAGGTCAAATATTTTTTGAAAACTAAAAATCTTTTACTAAGTAAAGGGCAAGAACTTTACAAATACTGAATTAATCCACAAGCAAACCCCAAGGTGCATAAGTACACATGCTGACCAACATTCTTGTAAACTTTCAGGCCTACAAGTGAAATACTTTTTGAGCTATGCATGAACAAGTTGAAAATTAAAAATTTAGTGATGTTGATCATTATTCCTGTAAAGTTGGTTGATTCTAACTCAAGCACTCAAGGAACAAATAACAACATAATGAAACAGTTTTTACTAGGTCAAGGGAAATAACTCTACAAATACTGGATAAATCCACAAGCGAAACCCCAGGTTCAAAACTAAATATGCTGAGCAACCTTCCTGTAAGGTTTAATGACTCTATGTCAAATCCTTTTTGAGTTACATGCGACACAAGTTGAAAATTGATGAAATTTTCTAAGTGAAGGGCAATAACTCTAAAAATACTAAATAAATTGAAAATTGCAAAAGTTTACTTAGTCAAGGGCAATAAGTCTAAAAATACTAAAAATATCCAGACAAAAATATCCAGGTGCACAACTACACATGCTGATCAATATTGCTGTAAAGTTTCATGACTCTAGGTCAAATACTTTTTGAGTTACATGTGACACAAGTTGAAAATTGCAAAATTTTACTAAGTCAAGGGCAATAACTCTAAAAATACTAAAAATATCCAGACGAAAATACCCAGGTGCACAACTACATATGCTGATCAATATTCCTGTAAAGTGTTATGACTCTAGGTCAAATACTTTTTGAGTTACGTGCAACACAAAAGAGAACGGACGGACGGAAGGACGGACGGACAAGGGTAAATCTAAATGCCCGCCACTAAAGTTGGGGCACAAAAAAAAGATAACTTAAAGCCATTTTTGGTTATCAAAATAGCAGCTGCTAACAACATCAAAATTGCATTAGAATGCCATCACAGATAATGAAGTTGTGCAATAATTTGCTGCTAATTAGTCAGTAAATTCATGATGCAGTTGAATAAACTTGGTAACCTGGTAACTACACCAAAGGGCATGTAGCACTGGTCTAGTGAACTCTACAAAAGTCATAAAAATCATGCCACTGGGGGTTAAAAATTGCCATACCCTGTGGTTACATTGACTTGAAAAGGACACTTTTCAAGAAAATACAAGACCTAAATAAGGTGTACATGATTGTATTTATCAAATTTTATTTTTTTCAACAAAAAATGTTTGTTTTACACATTTCTGTTTTTAATCTGACACAAATGTATTTTCAAAATTTTATTTTCCTAAAATAGCACATGGTGTATTTCCTCATGGGCCTCATACTTATTTGAAACTACATCGCTATGTGATAAATTTATTCAGACATATAAATAAATATACAATTCATGTACATGTGTATGAGAATACATGTATATACAAAAAGACGGTTCTGGTAATATCCAGTAATAAATGAAATACTAATGTTTCAAATTTATGTTTATTCTGCAAGCACTTTCATCAATTCAGTTATATCTTCAAGCAACAACATAAATAAACACAAGTTTGATAATAACATAATGTTATAAACAGATAAATATATGTTCCGGTTATATCATTTTGATCTGTAAGAGAAAATGTCAACCAAACAAGTCAATGTATCTACAATGGGCATTTCACGAACACAGGTTGTGAATTATAAAAAGACTGACCTAATTTTAGTTTTCTTTGCTCTTTTTTGATCCTTGGCTACAAGAGCATTGTCTTCCTCCGGTACTATGCGTTTAATTCTATACTTCAACACATTTTCCTGTGCTTTATTCACACGTAACTGCTCATACTGTTTCTGTCTCTGGGCTCTGTTGCCGAACCCAAAGCCCTGCAAGGCATATCACAAAGGTATAACAATATTAGCCCTTTAAGCTCAAGCTTACGTTAAGACTTACCTATGCTACATGTACTATACTAAATTTATTCAACTCATTCAATAAATCTAGTATTAAAACCTGATATGCAATATCATGCAACTAGTTCAATAAATTATTATATATTAACAACATAGTTTTGCATTCAATTATGAATCAAAAGCATTCCCATATTATAGCCTATATATCACATACAGTGTACACACAAATTAACTGTTTACAGTAAGAAAGAAAATTAATTAATTGACATGCTTATAAATAGTTTAAAAGTCACATTTAGCATGTTTTTATGCTATTTTTGTAAAATTCAAATGATTAGTGAATCATCCTTTTCATTAAAGATCCTGTAACTCAACTTTTTATGGTTTAATATCATAAATCTATTGCTCAAATGAAGATCTATCAATATTGTGGTTCCAAAAAGCATTATTTTTAAAGATATTACTGAATTTACATTTCAGGTTTATAAAGGGAGGTAATTAGAAATTTATTTTCTATAAAGTCCAAGTCAAATTTTTCAATAAGAAATGAATGCATATATTTTAATGATTACATAATTATAATGTGGACAAATATTTGCAGTACATATTTTACATATTCTTCGATGTTTGAAAATAGTTTTAGAACCACAATTATATACATATATAGAAATTCACTTAAGTGTGGTTTCAACCTTAATTACTACATACAGGATCTTTAAATGGCTTGATTATACTCCTGGTTCGTGGGTTAAGTCATAAAACCAAATACACTGTGGTAGTAAAAACTGAATTTGTTTGCACAGAGTGAGTAATTATGTCTTACTCTATACAAGATTGTACCTCATTGTCCAAATACTGTCTATGCTGAGCTTGCTTTGTTTTCAGATCAAAAATATCTTCATCATCCTCATCTTTCTTGTAATACTTGTCTAATAAATCATATTCTTCCAGCTTTGTCTGAAGATGGTTTACATAATTGTAATAATAAGCTTTAGTTTTAAAAGCTAAATAAATGAAGATATTTTAAAAAGGTAAACAACAAAATTATAGATTATGCATAAATTTAAGAAATGTAAACTAATACACAAACCATGGACTTCCTTGCTGGTCATAACAATTCAAAATTTTGTTGAATTTTAATGATATTATTTAATAATTCTTTACCATTTGCAGTGTAAATGCCATTTTGCCATACTTTTAATTTTACATATTTTGGAAAGTAAATGCTTAAGGGGTTAAGGCAATTCTTTAAAATCTCATTATCTGTACACTGACAGTATTTTTTCTATTAAAACACTTCAATTTCACAAAATTGGAAATGGCATGGGTGAAAGCTGTTTTTACGAATGTACTCCTGATTAATCAAAATGTTTTATAAACATTGTAAAATCAAAATTTTTATATCAATTCATTGAGAGAAAAATAGTTAGAAATATACAAAACTCATGTAGAAGCATCATAAAACTTTTAAGAATGAAACACTTCCTTGACACTGTATAAAGTTGTTTTAATGGTTGAATAGCAAAAATTAAAATATTATTTTGAACAGCTGAAAAACAAGAGCTGTCCGTAAGACAGCGCGCTCGACTTTTTTATTGCTTGCCAATAAAAAAAGTTTTTGCAGTAAAAGGCAATACAAGAATCTCTGTATTTTTAAAGTGAACAATGGCCATGAGCATTAAGATATTTAGTATATTGGACATGTTTGGGAATCATGATTGTAAACAAGTATTCCAACTTTCAAATTAATATCTCAAACAGTTCAGTCAAAAAGTGGACTGGTACTAAAAACTTAACCAAGATTCTAAGTCGATAAAAGGCCTTAATTTTTAAAACAAATCCTTGACAGAGTTACCTTCTCTTGCGTACAGATGGGGGTAATGATGTGAAATAGCATTAAAAGTTTCAAAGCAATATCTCAAAGGGTTAAGGCAATAAGTGGATTTTACCCATATTCAATGTATTTTCTAAGTCAAAAAGGGGCATAATTCTGTCAAAAACCTTGACAGAGTTATGTCCTCTTGTCTGTTGATGAAGGTCGTGATGGTAAACAAGTATGGTCAGTTTCAAAGCAATACCTCCAATGGTTTTGAAATAAAGTGAGGTGGTACAAAAAACTTAACCAAGCTCAATACACTTTCTAAGTCAAAAAAGGGCCATAATTCTGTCAAAAACCTTGACAGAGTTATGTACTCTTGTCTGTAGATGGAGGTTATGATGGTGAACAAGTATGGTAAGTTTCAAAGCCATACTTGTAATACTTCTGAAATAAAGTGGGGTGGTACGAAAAACTTAACCAAGGTGTGACGCCAACGCCGACGCCGACGCCGACGCCGGGGCGAGTAGGATAGCTCCCCTTTTCATAGAAAAGTCGAGCTAAAAAGCACTTTCGAAACATACACATACATGTATTGTGTCACAGGGTCGTTACCTTAATAGCATTGTATGCTTCTTTGGCTTGATTGAACTTCTTTGGGTCAGCAGTTGTAGACTTACTGTCCGGATGATATATCTTCACCTTCTCCAAGAATGCCTGTCGCAGTTCCTCTTGTGAGCATCCCTCGGAAACGTTCAGGAAAGTGTAACAGTCTCGGAGGTTATCTTGTATTTTGTAACCAACTCTACACAAAGCGGATGTAGTAAAATTGCTGCCTTTGTAACACAGTTTGATACGAGTTATACCATGCTTGCATAATGTAAGTCTGTATGTCACCATAGACATTTTTGGTAGATTTGAACAATTAAAATCCTCCCTGAGAACTCTACTGCACTTGTATTTAAAGTTACATCCTTTACCTTGGTGATCTGAAATTAGATGGAACAATAATACCAAAGCTACAGAAACGGAATGGGAAAAATATACTATAAAGTTCATGTTAATGTATCTCTAGGCTGCTGCCTACTGCCTTGCTATTGTTTAAACCCTTTATCATGATATAGCAAATATTATGATTTAATATGATTGGAATTTGGTTCCTAGTTATAGCCAATGGGTGCATTTAGAGTAACCAGCATTGCGACATTTCAGCTTTACTGGTGGAGACCTACCTCATGTGCCCCACTGTGCATTATTTCAGGCACAAACAGGCACCTAAGTAGAACCATCAACCTAAGTTAGATCAGTTAGTAGTAGTATACCAAAAAAGACTACTATCATGTTCTTCTCAAGGAATGCAAACACATAAGTTATTAGCGCACATGCCATTCCCAATGGATAATTTTGAACGTGAATAAATCTACATATTTTCTTTTAGTAAACTTTTATTAGAATCTGTCTGCTGCAAAATCCATGTTTTTTAAATCCTAACCCAAAAATCTAATACAACACTTACACTACCCCTAACCCTAGAAGTAAACTGCAATATGAGTGTTTTTGTAGAAAATCATAAATATTGAACAAATACATGTATTATTGGGTAAAATCATAATATTAATATTAAAAATAGATTCGGACAAATTCTAAACTAAACTTTAACAGTTTAACACCGTTTAACCGAGTTTACAAGTTTGTTCTATAAATTACGTAACATAGCACTCCGGGTCAAACAAACCAATAAGACATTTGCATTAATTTAAGTAATTATAATAACTTATTTTCACTACACTTAAGTCCTCTCTTTTTACATAATATTACATGTTTTTTTAACTTTTAAAAAAGTTATATCTTGTATCCGACTGGTACAAATGGCGTGTTACAAAGAAAGGGACGTAACTATTACAAACTAGAAATCCATTATCGGAGGCGAAACGCGCATAAAATGCCTTAAACTATAAATTTAATAACTTTTACTATGTTTGTAAAGCAAAACATTGATTCTTGACATTGTTACAATAAGATTTTGTAACATTCCTCTTTTTATTATTAATTAATTTGTTAATAATTTTTCAAGATCATAATTATGTTTCTCGTGCAGTACATGATTGCAAAAATTGCTACATGTACATATTGATTTCATTGCTTTGTTTACTGATGCCAAAGCTAGGTAGCGGATCATTGACTTGACAAGTTCCCTATTTTCTTCCCTAAGGGAATGCTCACCACTGGAACAACTTACCCCACCCCTCCTTCATTTGCCTTACTTACGATCGACATACAAATGTCTACATTACAACGGGGGTTCAACATTATGTGGGAATAGCTGCATATTAAAAGTGAAAAGAAAAAATATACGCAAGAAATCACGGATTTATAAGTAAAGTCCGTGCTAGAAATAAATTAAAATCACAATAGAGGAAACATCTATCTCTGATGATTATAACAGGGCCTGTCAAATAGAATTGGAAAACACTGAAATTGCATAATTTTAATATATATTCTTATTGCAAAACTTTTCAATTCCTAATTGTAATAAGACATGTACTGGCACTTTTTTCTATAATGGTTTTAACAGAAAAATGAATTTCTTCATGTTATGAATTTGTCGTACTGAATCATCACATTTTGTATTGTAACTGCGTGTTGCTAGAAAGGTTGTTCGATGCACATACCGCATTAATAACTTTTCTATCTTGAAAAAATATTAGAAATGATAGTTGAACGTCTCAATTCTGATTAAAAGGACACAAAGAATAGAGGAATTGATAAAAGATTGACCTTGATTTTCTGTCAGAATGTTAGCCACTTTCATGGTATTTCTGCCATCACGGCAGCATTTAAAATAAGTATCTGCCTACAACGGCAGCATTTTTTCTTAGACCGGACCAGATTGAACGTCTGTAAAACTTGCAAGAAAAGACTCACGGGGTAGATATTTGGCTTGCGTGACCCCAGTGGATGAACGTCTATATTAATAACACGAAATCTTGCCATTTATTTAAAACTTGAGATATTTTGAACTAAAAAACAGACATTTTCGCGGAATTTTCCGAAGCTGTCACTTTTAACCTGCTCAAAATAGTCTAAAAACAGGAAAAAACGAGTCCAAAATTACCTAATTACCTAATAGTATCTCCAGTCAATGGACAATAGTTTCATAGCAATGAAATGGGCCGTATTTGTGTAATATAATAATAACCTACCTGTACCGAGCGGTAAATTTCAGCTATCTGCCATCACTGCAGTGATCTGCCATCACTGGCGCCAGTAATACGGTGTGATTAAAGATTGGAATAGTTTGCCAGATAGTATGAAATGTATAACAAATCAAACACTATATCATACAACCTCTGGTAAAAGCTTCCTTGCTACAATTAAGCGGCACTGCACAACATCAATGTCATTTTCTTGACTGACATTATAAGAACACCTCCTTTCATTCTATTCTTTGTCAACTAATGCACTTCTCGTTTCTTATTTTCTGTGATTAAGTAAAACTTACTGTGATAACATAGCCAAATGTCATCTCCCACTTTTCTAACCGATTTATGTCATGTTAGAGGGTGACTGATTGGTTTGCAGATGTTAGAACAATGTATATTGTAGTATCGTCTGTAAACAAGCGAATCTTGGGAATATATGTTTTGTGGGAGGTCATTTCTATCAGCAAAAAAACAAGGTGGATTCTAGAACTGAATAAATATGTTAATATGAAGTTGAACTTTAATTATTCAGAAATAAACATTGATATATGGAAGGATTTTTTTTTATCTTTTGTAATGCACAGCTAACATAGGCCTTAATTATTGAAGTATGTTTTAGCATAGGAAAAAAATCAGTGCAATGTTTTACTAGATTAAAATTAAATTGATGCTGACTGCATAGTCTAAAAATAATTTTATAATGTTAGTCACAAAACATCAATTTTTTGTTATCTTTCTCAATAAATAATTAGTATCCACCAAGGCCATTGCTCACTAATTACTCAGCTAACAAGCCCCTTTGATGTGGTGATGTTAATTAATGGATTATTGATAAGTAAAATTAGATCTCTTTTTTTAATTCTAATAATATCTCTACGTGAAATAAATAAAAAAATTAAATAAATTTTAAAAATATCTTTTACATAATGGAAATTAACTGTATCCCACTGTAACCTTGTACGTATAATCCTTGTATCCCTGTATCCCTTGTCATGTGGGGTGAAAATAATTGTGATTTTGTGCTATATATGCATAGGATTAAAGGGACCCAAGCTCTTTGGAAAGTGTGTTAATAATTATTGGCTTTCTTTTATCCAGACCACTTGCTTAAAGGGTTTAGGTTAGAATTTTTTCAATCCCTTAAAATATCTCTTTTTTTATCTGGCATAGAAAATTAATTAATGAAAATATAGTTTATTTGTTATTTAAACCGTTATTTTCTATTTACATTTACATTCACGAATTTATATTATTATTAATATAGTTAAACTGTGATATATAATGTTGCAATGAATAAAGATAGTCCGTCAGTAATCAGTAAAATCAAATCAAAATTTGTTATACATGTATATGCATACCAAAAATTAATAAATTTTTGAATTTAATTTGAGTGGATTTTGGTATTAAAATGCGTGTACAATCTTTTTCGCAAACTCCTCGCAGCGGTTACTTCCCCTGATCTGTACAGTATCTGTTAAAGTAGCAAAGCGTGACGTAACCGCTGTGAGGAGTTTGTCTTTTTCGTCGTTTCGTGTATTAATATTTCAAGCTTTTGATAACAACGAAATCAAGCGTTTACTTTTTTATTTTGGACAATGTCAAGATTATTTGGAAATGCTGTTAAATTCCGAGATACATTTGTTTTGCCTAAGTCAGCAAAACTACAATGGTTTCCAGGTATAAAAAATGTACATTAAAAGTATTGAATGTATAATGGGCGTGAGGCGGCGGCGTAGATATCTAAGAAAACAATGAACAGGATTCGTCCCACTAACGATTCGACCAATAACACATAGTCAAAATCCTTACAGTGATTTGACAGGCATGAGTATCGGACCTGGGAAGAAAAAAATATTACCAGATTGATAAAAAAACCAGTGTACATCTTAAATGTATAAAAAAAACCCACAAGAAAATGAAGAAATATGAGCACCCTTAAAAATGTATGATACTTAAAGTACAAATTTGTTTAATTGGCTACGCCACTGCTTAACAAACTCCTCTTTACCATAGAAAACTGCATATGATTTCAAAATGAAGACTACTATAACACTTTTTTATTTTAACAGCATTTAAGAAAATCTTTGAAGTAAAAAAAATGTCTTCTTTTCAGGGGGTAGCCTGGGGTTCTCTGATATCACGGTACTTAACGTTTATCGGAAAATATTCAAATATAAATATCATAGATGAATGAGATTTTTCTTCTGTCTAATAAGTGAACCATTTCCAGAACTGTTTGTCAAAAAGATTATTTCAAAAGATCCAATTAAAATAGCATTTTAAAAACTATTTCCAATGTCTGCTATTTTGGGTAATTTCAGAGGAGCTTACTATGGTATCATGGTAATCCCCAAAAATGCAAGTATGGAAGGATAAATGAGTCAAAATCTTCAAGTTAAATTGTGAAAAACTTCCAACAGTTAACTTACTATAAAATTTAAACTATATGAACAGACAATATGTCAGTATATGTGATTATAACATATTTTAATTGACTGTGTAAAAACAATTATGGAAAATAGTAGTCAAATATAAAGATTTGCTATGTGAAAAAATAAAGTATTATTTGATAAGTGTTTTTTGTAAATAAGTTAATAACATATAACAAAAATGGTAGTCACATAACACCGTGAGTCACCTAATTCAGTGCAACTTAATAGCCCAAATTGTTGGGCAGACTTAAACAGGGTCACATAAGACAGGAGGTCACTGAATACACTGGGCCACTTCACTATGGCAGTTTTGACTGTATTTGAAATAATCATACTTAAATACATGATTGTATTATGTTGTCCCACTCTGAACATTGGTTTGTTTTTCTTTCGTAAAGTTCATTTGTTTTTTCTTTCTTCCAGGTCACATGAAGAGGGGAATGGACCAGATCCAGTCTTCTTTACGGGAAATTGATGCTGTAATAGAAGTCCACGATGCTAGAATCCCGTTTTCAGGTCGGAACTCTAATCTTAGACAGGTCATTCACATACGTCCTCACGTTCTTATCCTAAACAAGTGTGATCTTGCTGATTTATCAAGAAAGGATGAAATTGTAAAGAAAATTAAGGGCGAAGGTGTAAATAATGTTCTGTTTACTTCGTGTGTTAGTAAACATATTACAAAATACGTAAAGAATGATATAATTCCTATGATGTTACGAGATGTCAATGGTCGGGAAAGATTCCGTACCGATGTTTATAATCGATACAACATTCTAGTGATAGGAGTCCCAAATGTTGGCAAATCAACTCTTCTAAATAAACTGATGGAAACATATACTAAAAGAAGAAAATGTGCACAAGTTGGAGCTATGCCTGGAGTAACAAGATCTGTAATGAATAAAGTGAGGGTTAACTATGATCCAGACATGTATGTAGTCGACACGCCAGGAATTTTGAATGCACACATACCAAACACGGAAATGGGGATGAGACTTGCACTGTGTGACTGTATTCCTAATCATCTAGTAGGAAAGGAAGTTATTGTTGATTATTTATTATTCTGGTTGAATAAACATAAGAAATTCTCCTATGTTGACCAGTATCAAATGTCTAGTCCTACAGATGATGTGATGGATTTTATGATGGCTGTGGCATTGAAAAACAAGTTTCTACAGCCTTATAAAGACGGTTCAAATTCTACACAGACTAAATACAAAATTAACTTTGAAAAGACATCAAGTTTTATAATCAAAGAATTTCAGAGTGGAAATTTTGGGAAAGTTATGTTTGACGATGATTGCCTTACTTGAAGATTCTGCTTCTGTTTCAAGGCAGTTTTTAAATTCAACTTGACTATTTAAAGAGTATACAAATACTCCCTTTCTTGGAAAGATAACTTGAAAAAATAGGATTGTATCTGTCCCCCTTTTTTTGCCTAAATTTGTTTCAGTTTTTATTTTCTTTAATCATGCAAAGTTTAAGAAATTGTGTTCACTAGGTAAAATAAAATGTTTCATAAATATAAAGGTATGAATATTCAAGGGGAAGAAATTACATGTACAGGAAACATCTTTGAAGGTCATTGTAGGTCTCTTACAAAGACCCATAACTCTAGCAGTCATTTAGACTGAATTATACCTTTTGGTGAACTGAAAAAAAATATAGGTCAAGTTTTACCTGCAAATTTTATCTTAAGCACCAGGTAATGTATTCACTTTGTCTTATATTCACACATGTCTCCTGGTTCATCATTGTAGGACACTGTCCAAGAACCATTACTCTTAACAGGCATACATTTTCATTGAAATATAGCTTTATGTGAAGATTCTTAGATAAAGTATCATATGCAAGCTATGTGCTTATAAAAAAGTAATATACAGTGTTTACTTTTAACTAGGAATTTTTGTACTCCCTATTTATCTTGGTTTGATATATCAACATTTATAAGAAAAAAGTAAACACACTGTATGATTATATGAATAATGTATTCTTTTGTAATGTGATGTATAAAAATTTGAAATACATGAACACGTCTGGTTATAAACATAATACCATCAGTGTATTTTCATTTATTGTTTATTTTGCATTATCAATAGCTTCACACTTTGTAGCTTATTCATTAGAGCACAGCTCAAATTTTATTACACTATCTGATATAATTACAAACAACATCTTATTATTTATTTCACTGAACACCACAGGACCATAATGACAAAAATGATTTCCATATGCCCATTATAACCCATTCTGAATTTATACTCTGGTGACTGAAGTGGTCATTCCTGATACATCCAACCATGCTCCTTCGACTGAGCATAATTTCACTTTGAGCATATTTTTTAACTATTCTCAATTTTAAAGTGTAACAATATATATGTAAAATGGATATCATTTTTCCCCGATTTTTTTAAGACTGCATTCATTTATATCTATGCATTGATGCAATCACTATTTCTAAAATAGAGCTGCCAGAAACAATATTGATGTATGATTGATATTTTATCAATAATCAATACAAATTTAATTTTGACTTACTATTTAAGTGTATAGAAATGAGGAAAATTCAACCAAAAAATATACAGAAGCAGTTGTCCATGCCTAACATTATCTGTTGTTACATAGTGGAAATATTTCACAGAAATTATGACAAAAAAATGGTCTGGATAAAAATCATGCAATTAGCTTTTATAAACAAGACACTGAACAGAACATGTTTTCAACTGAAATCATTTTAACAGGTATAAAAAGTGAATAACAGGCAAGTTATTTTAGGTAATAATCAATATATTTGTGTATCCTTGATATTTGTCATCTGATGTAGATAAATCCTTGATATGCCTTGCCTTGAATCATAGACAGCTCTATTCAAAAATGATATATAATTTGCATATAAATGTATAATCAAACAAAATGAACAAGCCAAAGCCTTATTTTTAAGTATAATCAGAATTTGCTCAGCTTAATCACTTAATTACACTTTGTCTCGGTAATGTATATAATTATTCTTCTTAAACAATTTCCAAACATCCAAGAATATGTTTAATATGTACTGCAAATGTTTATGCCCATTATAAGTAATCATTAAAATATATGCATTCATTTCTTATTGAAAAATTTGGCTTAGACTTTATCGAAAATAAATTTCTAATTACCTCCCTTTATTTACATGAAATGTAAATTCGGTAATATCTTTACAAATAATGCTTTTTGGAACTTACAATATTGATAAATCTTCATTTGAGCATCATATTTATCATATAAAACCATAAAAAAACTTGAGTTACAGGATCTTTAAAGTTATGTCTATTTTAGGTCAATTACTTTTATGAAGTTGCAATCTTCTGAGTAATTACTTTCACTGATGAACACTCTTTGCTCCTCTTCAGATACGATGATAGACGTTGGTTCAAGAGCATCACGTATATGAAAATGTGTAATTTGTGTTGTACCTGGTACAATCACTCCAATCATCTCACTTTTAAACGGATAACATACAAAAACAGAACCACAGTTGGTCACTGTTATGCCGAATGGAGGTCCCATATCCGTTTTATTTACAGCTTTTAGTTGTTTGTTCACTGTAAATTCATACAAGGCATTATTGTCACTGTCTGATACAAATATGCTCTCATTATTTGTATTCAGACATATAAATTGTGGAAATTCCAATATGCCGGTATCCCTGACTTCATGTAGAATATCACCTTCCATGTTTATAACTTGAACAGCGGGAGGTTCAACAAAGGACACTGCCATGATACCATTGCGATGATCTATTCCGTAACATCCTTGCCTAACATTCAGACTGTGGCTTTCAGTTAATCCAACTTTAGTATTTAGAAACAAGATTCTGCCTTCAGATGGTAAAGTTGTCGCAGCAGATGAGGAATTAATGGTTGTAACGTCCCTAGGACACGTTGTTGTTTTCAGTATTGTTGTGATCTTACCTTCTCTATGATTCAAAACTTTCAATGATTCGTTTTCATTATCAGCGCAGAGAATTTCAGAATCAGATATGAGTGTCATTCCGGTGATGTAACAGTCATTTTCATCTTTTGCCTGCACGTTAAATTTCTGTACAAATTGTTTCCTCTTGTCAAATATTGTTTCCTTGCATTTACCTGAAAACTTCTCCAATTGTGTCTCCAGGTGCCCAAGACATGTGTTGTTTAATTTCAAAGCATTTATATCTTCAGAGGCTGAAAATTTTACAGTGTTTATGTGACTTTTAGAAGAAATTTCCTCATTTAATTTCTGATATATCTGTAGTCTTTCTTGTACGCGTTTAGATATGACAAACAAATTACTCATGTTGTTTTTACACTGATCTAGTTTACTTTGATAATCTTCAATTTCATCAAGTAATGCCTCGCATTGATCTTGAAGTTTTCCTTGTGAATACACATCTCTATCATTTACTTCGTCGACTTTTTGTATAAGTTCTGCTTCCATTTTGTCCAGATAGTTGTCGATCTCTTTACGGAACTGTTTAATTTCTTCGACAACAGCAGTCCTTCTTTTATCCGCTGTTTTCAGGCTACTGTTTATTTCTCCTTTACATGAAAATATGTTTTTCTTCAGATGATCAAGTCTGTGTTTGATAAGAAGGAGATCGTCGCTATTGTTAAAGTTACACGACTCGTATGAAACTAGCTGAATCTCACAAGAGGTATGATGAAGAAGAATACACTCTCTACACCCAACACGATCGTGCTCGAGACAATAAAACTGCACTAATTCATTATCATGAATATCACAGAGCTCAGTGCATTGGTCACTTTTAATCTGAAATTTCGGCATAACGTTTTTGGATTTGATCACGTGATTTTTGGTGCTAGCCAACTTTTCATGTGCGTTGATACACGATGAACATAAAAACTCGTTACAGTTCACACAATAACCCTCTGCTTGTACAGTATCACCGTCACACTGGCAAGATTGACATGAAGATTCTTCACAATCTAAGACTTCCATTTTAAAGTAGAATGTCGTCCCTATCTTCAATAGAATGTCGTCCCTATCTTCAAGAAGCCCAAAGTCTGTGTAAATATATCATCCGCATTTCCACCAAATCAAGGCTGTTTTATATCATTACGGTATCTATTATGACAAACTAATTAATAATATGACTGTTACATCCTGATTATCCACTTTTTATCAAAAGTTAAAACTGCACCTGCCCACTTAATAATTTGTGATGTTACCATTTATCTGTATATGAATAGATAACTGTGATGATTGCAAATCATTATCAACATTTAGTACTAGCTAGGAAGCTAAAAAATGATAAAAAAATGTTATCAAGTTCATGATAACAACTGCATAGATTTGGGCAAAACAAACACATGTTTTTGCATGGTGACAATATGTTTGTTAAGAATCACAAAACAACCCATATTTATAACAATTAAGGTACCTCGCACATTTATTCTAAAATGTTCATATATATCGGGCGTTTTTTTTTAATTGACTCTATGAATTGATATACATGATGACCATTAAAACACCTACATGTAGTTTAAACTGTACTTACATAAAAATCCAAATGGAAAGCTTATTGGTCGGCAAACCAACTGAACAAAATTGACATTGTTGCAGTATGGATCCTAGCTGTTAATGGTCAGAATTTGTATAGCCTCAAACGTCTCGAGTGGCACTTGCTTTAGCAAAATTCAACATTTAAACATGAAAATGGTGTTTAATTTAGAATTTTAAACCATACGCAGGCGTTTTCATAATAATCATTCAAGCGGAAAATATGTGTATTATATTAATGCGCAAATGTTTGAGCTGCCAATCAATCCTGTAAAGTTTCATTGAAATTGCATTAGTGGTATAAGAAAAGTAGTTCAGCCAATCTTAAAAAATGAAAATAATTAAAGGGTCATAACCTGAACAAAAATCATTTAACCATAAAAAGCCGATGTTATGCACAACTAGACTAAGTTTTGGTGAAATTGCACGAGTAGTTTCTAAGAAGTAGCCCGGAAAAGCTTCGGTGTAGCTGGCAACACTAAAACACTATTTTTATTCAACGGCCATAACTATAAGTAAAGTTTGGTTTCCCTATATGTCGCCACAAAATCAATTGGGGTCATCAAAATGCTATTAAACTGTTATATGTTTTCAAAACAACCACATAATATATTTTTTTATTCTTTATTCTTTATTTTACTTCTATACTACAAGAATTAATATTTATTAACAAAATGTTCAAAATACATTAGATCTATATACATGTTTATAATATAAGGATCTTACATAAGCCAACGACAAATCAAATGCTTTATTTCTTTTCTTTTTTATTACGCATTCACACACAATTATAGAATAATAATACAGTAAAAAAAATATTAAACCGGATATGGTCGAGACTGGCAGCCGAAATTTCCGGATCAGTTAGGATTCCGATTTCTGAGTATTTAAGGCAAGGAGATCTGATAATAATAATAAATAATAAAGTTTCCTTTTAAAAGGAAAGACTTGCACAGTTGTGCCTTCATCCCAACCCTTTAAAATTGTTTTTTTTTTTTTTGGTTTCAATCTATTATCACATTTTTTTTTAATTACGGTTTTTGTATATCATAAAGGGTTTATTTAGTTGTTTTTTTTTTTTTTGGAAAACCGAATATTTTTTGTCAAAACGATTTGAAATCTATTCTCTATTGTATAAAACTAATAAAGAAAATGATCAATCGTAAAAATACTAACGTGATACTGAAGGAAAACAAGTGTGCACATTTCATTTCCCCTTTTTCGCAGCGAAATCATTCCTTTGCTTTATAGACGAGTAAATGCACTAAAATACTTCGTTACGTGGTACCAATCACATGGACCCAGCACAGTTTTATAATATTTTATTGCTATATACATGTATATACAATACAGATACAAATTTCATATGTATTTTAAACAGCAAAAGCAAACGGGTTGGGCCCAAGTTCTTACAACATTAGCGGTCGGCCCTCCCCGGTAGATAATGAAACGAAAAAACTATATTCAATACTTAATGGCATATAACATAAACATAGTGTATATCATGTATAATTGCTGATGGAATGAATCGTAAGAAACGATTTTTAACAATATACAATAAAGTAATCGAACAGATAGAAATCAACGTTCGTGTATTTTATAAATTTATAAATATGGATGATCTAAGGATTCAGTATAACCTACCCCCCACCCCCCACCCCTAAGTGTCACGGGTTTCGTTAAGGCTGTTATGTGCATTTACTTTATATTGGGTACAGGGTATTTGTAATTACTTCTTATATAATATTCTAAGTACATTTATAACTGATTACAATAAAGGTTTAATGTTTAGGTATAAGTGAATCGATTTGTATTTTTAATAAATTTATGGACAGCAGTAAATATAACTTCATTATCTTTCGATGCTAGGCTATCACTACCAAGTAACAGTAGATTTGTATTCAGTGGGTGGAACGTCCTAGTTTCTGTAAAGAGTGTTATTCTTTGCGTTTGATAACTCGGGCATTTAAAGAAAAAATGTTCAGCATTCTCAACTGCATTTCCGCAATGACATGTGGGATTTTCACTGAGATGATTTCTAACTAAGTCACCATTTAGGTCGCTGCAATTGTTTCTTATACGTGAGTGTAAAACTGATAATAGTCTTTCACCTATTAAAAAATGTTTAGGTACAATAGGAGCTTTGAACATTTCTTTCATTCTAGTTTTAAATATGTTTAGTGATTCCGCATTACGAATACTAGCATCAAGTGAATTCCAAAGTTCAATTGCTGAAGGTAAGAAGGATCTATTATACGTTTCAGTACGACGAGCTAATGTTGCATAATTGTTATTATTTCGAAGTGGATAGTTTGATGTTTCTGAAACAGTACTTGGGAAGAGATCTTCAAGATAATGAGGGACAAGGCCATTTTTTGCTTTGTAAAACCGTGACTAACTTTTGAATTTTACGTCTGTCAGAAAGAGATACCCAGCCCTACTTCTTTAATCAATGAATTTATCGATACAGACCTAGTTAACCCAGTAACGACGCGCGCGGCTTCGTATTGCAATTGTTCAAGTGATTGCTTTTCGTTTAATGTACAACCGTCCCACACTACTGAGGCGTATTCCAAAATCGGACGCATATAAGAGATGTATATTTTATTCATAGTAGATCGTTTAAGTTTAAATTTTAATGCACGCATTGTACTTAAAACTTTTGACGCTGATAACATTATTTTTTCGATATGTTCATGCCATTTGAGATCATGAGAAATTGTCAAGCCTAAATGTTTGTGATGATCAACAAAGTCAAGACGATTGTTATTAAAGAATAAAATTGGCTTAGGATTTGTGTTTGAAGAGAAAAACATAACTTCAGTTTTATTGGGATTGAAACTCACAAGCCATTGATTAGACCATTCATTAATGATATTTAGGTCACGATTTAAAGTTGTTTCAATGAGGCCGATATTGTTTGAAGAAACAGCTAAAGAGCTGTCGTCTGCAAAAAGACGAGTAATAGAGAGTAAGTTTTCGGCAATATCATTGACGTAAATCAAAAACAATAGAGGCCCAAGGGCTGAGCCTTGGGGGACGCCTGCAGATATATTAAGGATGGAAGATAGTTCAGAGCCTATAAAGACCGATTGTTACCTTTCAGAGAGATAATCAGTAACCCAACTGAGAAGCTGGTCTTTAATACCATATTGTTTTAGTTTAAAAAGCAGACCTTGATGCCATACCCTGTCGAATGCTTTTGATATATCACAAAAAATAATACAGGTCGATAGCTTTTTGTCATAGGATTCGCAAATTTGGTGATAGATGTTTATTAGTTGATAAACAGTTGAATGTCCAGGGGGAAAACCTGACTGTAAGGGATATATCAAATTGTTTGAATGTAGATGGTTGTATATATGTTTGAAGATTACTCGCTCCATCACTTTACCTACACAACTAATTAATGATATTGGGCGATAATTAGAAGGACTATTTCTATTTCCTTTTTTAAAAAGGGGCATAACTTTTGCAAATTTCCATATATTAGGATAAACACCTTCTCGAAGAGATCTATTAAATAATATACATAATGGCTTACAAATAGTTAGTTTTGTTTCTTTTAAAATTTTATGACTTATATCATCCGGCCCAACCGCCTTGTTTATGGGTAATAGTGACAATATATCAATTATTTCTTGGTAATTAATTGTAAAATTTTCAATATCGTTGTTTGATTTTTGAATAAATACCGGAAGTTGAGTAGAAGTTGTATCAATATGCGACACTGATATGAAATATTCGTTTAAGCAATTTGCTTTTTCGGCATCAGTTTCATATTGTTGTTCATTACCATTTTCATCTACTAATAAGGTTGGTATTGAATTAAACGCATTTGAATTTTCTTTAATTAATAACTTAACTGTTTTCCAATAAAGTTTTGGATCATTTACACTTGCTTCCTCCAACGAATACTCAAGATTATTAAAAAATTGTTCTTTAGCATGTTTTTTTAAATTATTGACTTTGTTTCTTAAATGCTTGAAAGTGTTCCAATCAAAAATCGAATTAGTTCTAACTGCTTTTTTCTTTGAGCGATCACGTTGTCTGGAAGTTCTACGAATTACTGAGTCATACCACGGTTTGTCCTTAGGTCTTATAGTTACTAATCGCGATGGAATGCAGTTTTCGGCTAATCTAAGAATACTAGAAGTAAACAATTCGGTGGCTTCATGTACTGAGTTTAAATTAAGAAATGACCAATCATTATTTTGTATGAGATTATTAAGTTCCTGAAAATTTCCTCTACTATAATTCCATACACGTCTTTTATATGTTTTACATGATTCTTTTATATATTTGGTAAACAGGTAGGTTCCAAAATGGTCACTGATGTCGCGCGGTGTGATGATTATTCCAGAATCGTAAACATGAATATTATTACTAATTGCTATTGGGTCAATTAGTGTTGAGGAGTTTGCATTTACTCGAGTCGGTTCTCTAATTATATTCTTAAGGTCGTTTAATATTAAAACATCTTTAAGTTTGTGATTATTAAGGTTCAACTGATCTTCATTTACATCCCCAACTAAAATTATTCGGCTACATTGTTCAAGGGCTTTTTCTAAACAAATATTCATTTTATTCCAAAATTCGACGGGGGCATTTGGTTGTCTATAAACAGTACAAATAAGTTGCTTAGTGTGCTTGTTTCTTAATTCAATCCAAAGTGATTCTTGTAAATAGTCCTCTAATTCAAATTTTCGTTTCGAGATTAATTGGTCTGAAACATATACTAGTATACCACAAGAATGACGTGTACCGTCTTTACGGTAAAACGTGGAAAAATTATCTAGTTTAATATCGTCGTTCGACACTATATTATCAAGATGTGTCTCTTTGAAGCAGAGTATATCAAAATCAAGCCAGTTATCTTTGATATAATTTAACTTATTCCTAATGCTTCTTATATTTTGACTAAGGATAGATAGACAATCATCATTAGATTCTCCTGGACCAGGATTTTTTCAATACTTAAGGACAACAATAGAGGAGTGACATATATTAGCTCGGGGCTAAGATAGTTATCGATAGTCGTATATATTTCCATACTGTATGTTTCAAATAGTTTACACACGGTTACACTTGCAGCTACAGAAGATAGGCTAACATTATTAACGGATACCACATCAGAAAACTGATCAAGGAGTTTAGCGTACGTTTAAACATTAATAGAATAGGCATTAGCTTGTAATACAAAATTAAGAACGGATAACTAATAATCATTTGAGACTTTTTAATCCCTTGCGTACCATTGTAGAATAAACCAATCGCCATCCGCCATGCCACAGTACAATTACCCATTAGGGAGAAGTAAGCACGAATCCATACGCATGACCGACGACGACAGGTTAGTTATGTAGACATGCATAGTTAAACCTAGTACTAATTCCGTGACATCCCCTTTCCCCGATATACTGAATCCTGAACATTTTACATTTGTAGTGATAGCAATGAAGGAAAAAAGACAAAGAAAAAAATACACTTCCATTTCAGAGAAAAGTTTTGCTCAAAGCAAAAATGTTGGTTGTTGATAATTTAAAACAATTTTTCTTATTTCTTAATCAGACTGTTTGTATGTATAACAATAACATATTCCAATGCATACTCTTAAATATTAAGATTTGATGTGATCCATAAGTAATATTCTGCCTGATAGTAAGATAAGATAGATCGAAATTGATTTGGTATCTTTAATCATGTTAATGTTATTATATTCTTCAAAAAATTGACAATCTCCAAAAATGTAAATAAATAATGAAGAAAAAATTATTATTATTATTTTTTTTTTAATCTAGATTATGCCAGGCAAACTTTTTTTAAAAAGATTCCATTATGAATAGATTTATTTTAAGTATCTGCATAAACTTATTTTATAAAGCAAAACAAAATACTATACAACAGGAAACATAATTGTTTAAGCCTTTAAAATATGTACAGTATAATTATTGATGCTTTTTAATGAATATAAACACTATTTGAGTTAGACACACATTCATGTACATAAATACAAAGCAACAAAATCCTTAAAATATGTACAGTATAATCATTGATACTATTTAATGAATGCACATATAAACACTATTTGAGTAAAACACACATTCATGTACATAAATACAAAGCAACAAAATCCTGATATGCATAAATACGTCTTTCCATGACAAATATATATGTATTGACAGTAGTGATGACAGCTTAAAACATATCTCACCGGTGCATTTAAAAAATTTCAAATAAAATTGAATGTTTTTTGAGACAGACTATAGGTATGGACGCGATATAATTGCGTGGGCGGATCAGAACAGTATTTTGTAAACAAACCAGCAGACATTTTCACAAAAAATCTTACGATTTATCTTAAGTTTTTCACTTACGATAATCGTAAGTTAAATCTTAAGTCATTTTTACAAAGCCACTCGTAAGTTAAAATTTTATCTTAAGATAAAAAATTCACTTACGATAAATCTTACGACAAAAACATCCCTAGCAACGTTCATTTGATAGTGATGTGCATGCTCTATATTTGATTCCGGTTTTAAAATCAAGTAATAAAGAGCTTGAAATATGTATTGAACACAATCAAATTTCAATAAGAACAAAAAATGATTCAAACTAATATAATTGATATCTTGATTGAAGATAATTATATATATCTAAAAGATTCAGAAAGAAGGTCTACTATGTTATTAATAAATAAAAAGGTACCACTAGTACATGCTGGCAATGAAATCGAACTCACCAATTGTACAAATTATAAGTTTTCAATAATATTAGTCTACAGTATGGAGTTCACATTATTTTAAACTATTCATAACCCTCTCCATCGTGACGTCATCAAGTCATGACGTCACAAAAGTATATGTTGAAAAATAATTATACCTCAATTTGTGTTATTTATAGCATACTGTTTGCTTAATATTTAGTTGTCCTCCAACTTTGTGTTTATTTTTATTCAGTTTAGGTAAGAGATACATGATATTTTACCCTTAAGAGAGAAAAAATTACACTTACGAACGGGGAAGACCTATCGTAAAGTTACGACAGATTTTGCACTTAAGATTTTCTTAAGATTTTTTGTGAAAAGGAGATTTATCGTAAGATTTCTCTTACGACAAAAAATTGTCGTAAGATTTTTTGTGAAAATGTCTGCTGTATTCGAGTTGATACGGTCATGTGACAGACACTGATTTACATTTAATACGCGTGATAGGTTTTTAGATAAACATCAACAAATCAGCTGGTGTCATGGAAAGATAACAAGTGGCACATAATATGATAATTCACAAAGCGATTTACATGATTTGTGAATAACATCGAAAAACGAAGCAAAGGATACTTTAACGTATCTCGTATACCATGCATTAAAATAACAAGACAAGCACCCAATAAATCAAAATATATCATTCTATACACAAATTGGAATACAATTATTTCTAATTATATACATATGATAACACTCTATATATAGAAGTATTAATCAGTTTTCATTGGCCTTAAAAAACAATCGGACGGTTTGCTTATCAAAGACCAGTTATTAAAAAAAAAAAGCACAGTGTTGGGATAGTGTAAAAAAGTAATTCTAAAAAAATATATATACCTTATATATAATATATAGACAAGGGGTTGAACTCGCCAAATCGGCCGATTGTCACTAGTCCAGTACAAGTCAAAATTAAAAAGTCATTTTTACGTAAATCATATAAAGCTATATATCAAATTGCAGGTAAATGACATCACTAGACGTTGACAATAACATTATTGTCCCCACTTAAACCGTTTTTGAACAACAAACCGATATTTCAGATGGAAAATCGTATTTTTGCTAGGTCGGACACGACCGTGTAACCAGTCCCGACTCAATTTTCTATATATTATATATAAGGTATATATTTTTTTTAGAATTACTTTTTTACACTATCCCAACACTGTGCTGGGTCCCTGTGATACCAATTAATAAGCATGTATCAACTATGTTACACGATGTCAGCACGTGGCAAGGTTAATGATATGCATGGGCTATTTTTAGATTACCTCATTGCGTTCAGTAGATCTAAATATAACTCGATCATGCGTGATTTGGTAAGCAGGACCACCCTTTGAAGACGGAATACTACAGTCACCATTCTCTATTGTATAAAACTAATACAGACAAAAAACAATTATAAAAGAAACTAACTTTTGCGTCTTGAAAAACAATTGAAACGGAACAATTTCGTTTATAATTTATTACGGTTTAAACCGATAAATCAAGTAAAAATAGAAATCCTATTTATATAAACAAACTGGGATTACCGAAGTAACTAAAATAGCTTACATTTCCGTAATATTACTTCGTCTGATTCCGCAGTATGACGGAATCGCCCGAATTGTCACGATTGCAATCGGAACTACATCGGCTATTATCATTAATCCGAAGAGTGACGGAAAAGACCGAAAAGTTGCGATTGGCACGATTGCAGCTGGTTTCCCGTTCAATCATGCACCAACAGATGTAAGCAGGAAACCACCTAACCGGAACAAGTTTTCCAAATGAAATGGCTTGCAACCGTGGCTGCAAGCCAAAAAAAACAATCAAATCGCAATTTCGGCAGGTCATTTTTAAAAATAAGATGTGAACACATATTATAAAGAAATATCTAAAATGATTAAATAGAGAAAAACAGAATCCCTAAAGAAAATCCAACACGGAAAAGTGAAACAACCGCAAATGTGATCTTACGGCGGTAATGAAGGAACCTCCAATGTGACATAGTAGTGCCATTCCACGAAAAGCGTATGCCACGTTTATCATGCCTCGGAATTCCCCTTCTTTAGAAGGGGCAAATATGAGTTCTATATAGTTTTAATAACTTTTTTTTAGAGCATGCGATATACAGAAGCAGTAGCGCTGAATGTGAAATAATTTGTCACAGAAGTAAATAAAAAATGTTAGCAAAGAAATATTTAACCCATATCAATACTAAATTACTCTAACAATGCCAATTGTCAAAAAGTAAAATAAGCACATTGTGACAACTAACTGTGTAAGGAAGCTATATCAGCACACCTAAAAAGACTTTTGATTTAATAATGATAATAAAACAATTTTTGGCGTACACTGGGCCTGTAAACAAAAGTGAACAAAATCAAAAACAATATAATAAAACTTGAAAGTAATAAATACGATTTACTAACAACAAGACATGACAGTATAACGTATTTCTAAAAACTTTGTACAGTTTTCTACAAAAAGATATGATCATTAAATTTAATGTGTGCACTACTGTGAAACCTAATACAAAAGCACGTTATGCACTATATATATGACTTAAATTTTAAAGACACCGTATACCAAAAAAAAAACAAATAAGTTGTTTTTTCTTTAAAAAGGGCAGACATGAGTTTTATAATGTTAAATAATGGTTTTAGAGAATATTACGGTACCTGCATATCACCTGAAGAAAAAAGTGCTGAGCATAAAATTATTTGCAATAAAAGTAACAAAATGTAAACAAAGTAGTATTTTGACTTTCATACAAAATACCAAATTAATATAACTTTATGAACTGCTAAGAAAGCATCAAAAGCAAAAGATGGTGCATGTAATTGGCCAATTAGTAAGCATTTTGGTAACTATACCCATATAACAGGACACCAAACATAAAAAGCTTTTGAGAAACAAAAATAACAGCTTTTCTTATGGGCCTTTAAATCAAACAGTTTATTGTCGCTTCCTTTAATAGTGTATCACTAAATGTTATACTGTAAACATGATTCTTTTTTTTTCCTTCATGAATTACAACACACCTTAACTGCCATGACACTTCCCCCATCATACGTCACTATTGTCTCCTTATCAACAAACAGCTCGACAGTTCTCACAAAATGTATGTCTATTCTAATTCAAATATTTTTATGTAGTTGCAATATTTAGAAAAAGAACTTTCACTCATAAACATTTTTCTTTGCTTTTCAGATATGATGACAGAATATGGTTGAAATGAATCATGCAAAGTCCTTGTATGGAGAGGAAAAATGTGGGTCGTTCCAGGCACAATCACCCCAAACATATCGCTTTTATCCAGATAACACACAACAACGTAACCACGGTTTGTTACCGTTAGGCCGGCTGGGAGGTTCATACTTCCTCTTTTATTGATAGACTGTAAATTTCCTTTCAGGTTAAACTCATACACGGCAGAGTTTTTCAAGTCGGACACAAATATACTCTCATTATTCCTACTCAAAGACACTAAATGTGGATACTTCAACATGCTGGTATCCCCAACCTCATGAAGAATATTACCTTCCTTGTCTATAACCTGAACAGCGGGAGGCTCAACAAATGAAACAGCTATTTTACCGTCCCGATGATCTATTCCCTGACACCCTTCCCTGACATCCAGACGGTGACTTTCAGTCAAACCGTTTTGCGTATTGAGAAACATGATTTTACCTTCATATGGTAAAGTTGTTGCAGCAGAGGATGAATCTATTGTAGTAATATCAAATGGGCAAGTCGTTGTTTTTAATATTGCTTTAACCTTATCTTCTCTGTGATTAAAGACTTTTAGTGAGCTATTGTTCTGATCGGCACACAAAATTTCAGTCTCGGAAATGATTGCCATTCCAGAAATAAAACAATTTTTGTCTTTTTTCGTGTGCACATTAATTTTCTTTACAAATTGTATTCTGTTCTCAATCAAGGTTTTCTTGCACTGACCGGAAAATTTCATTAACTTTGTTTCAAGATTACCAAGACATGTGTTGCGTGTTTTTAAATTGCTTATTTCTTTACATGCTGAGAATTTATAATCGTTTATTTGACTATTTGATGAAATTTCCTCATTTATTTCTTGGCATTTCTGAAGACTTTCCTGTATGCGCTTAGCTGTCACAAACAGATTGTTAACTTTGTCTTTGCATCGATCAAGTTTAGCTTGAAAGAGTTCAATTTCATCAGCCAAAACACCGCATTGATCTTGAAGCTTTTTCTGTGAAGACACATCTCTTTCATTCACTTCATCAACTTCTCGTAAAAGGTCTGCTTCTATTTTATCTAGGTAGTCCTCCATTTCTTTACGGAACTCTTTAATTTCCTTAACAACATCCGTCTTTATTTCATCCGCTGTTTTCAGACTGCGGTTTATTTCTTCTTTACATGAAGCTAGGTTTTTGCTGAGATGATCAATTTTGTGTTTGATTAAAACAAGTTCGTCACTGTTTTCATAGTTACACGACACGTCTGAAACAGGATGAATCTTACAGGAGGCATGATTAAGAACAATACAATCTCCACATCCCACACTGTCATGTTCCCGACAATAAAACTTGACTATTTCATTCTTATGAACATAACAGAGCTCCGTGCATGGGTCAATATGAGCCTGTAAATTTGGCATTTCCTCTTTGGATTTGATCACGTGATTTGTAGTAACAGCCAACTTTCTGTGTGCCTTGATACATGATGTACATATAAACTCGTTACAGTTCTCGCAATAACCCTCTGCATTTACAGTATCACCGTCACGCTGGCATGGCTGGCACGACAAAGATGACAAAGCAGAAGGTGCTTTACGTCCCGGGACTTCCATTATAAAGACAGATGTTATTCTAATGGGAAAAACAGCATAATTATGTTTCTATACACAAAGCAATAGCATATTTGCCAATTTAAAATTATTTTATACACTGCATCACTTTTCTTTATTACAATATTACTCAGTGATATTCCATATAATATGTCCACTTGTTTTAATCTTTGTTTTACTGCTTCAGGTATCTCACCAGCGAACAAAACACTTATAAAACGTCACACGCTTATAAAGCCTTGTCTGAACACGTTTGTTTTGCAATCAAACTTCACAGTCAGCAGTTCTATAAAAACAACTATAGGCAAATGACTTATATATTATATTTATCAATCAACAAAAATTTATTATTGCACTATAGCTAAGCCAAATGATTTTCGCAGACTAATAATATGTCCCAGGCTGAGAAGATTTCTTTCACCAGCGTTTAACTTTTAAGATAATATCTTCAAAAAGGACTACATGGGTACAATTAAAAAGAACAATTTAGCAGAACGGTAGATTATGTAATTTGATCAGGACTTGGAACATCGTCTATGAATGAAATAGATTTAACAATGAGTAATCACTAGACCGTCAATACATTAAATTTATAATTACATGTCAAAAAATCTAAACAGTAGCAACAAACGTATTTACTAAATTGTGCATGCAAAAGGATTATTGGATAATGAAGTAATTAAAGTTTATATGATGAGTAACCCGATTTATTAGTGCTAAAGTGTTAGATATTACGGCATTCATTTACTTATACGTGGGTTGTCCCAATATTCTGTGACAAGATTGTTTAAAAGCTAAATAAAACAGGTACGAATTTGATATTTAAATATGTTATAAATCCATATAATTTAAACATTTTCACAATTTTTCATAGAAAAATATCAACAAACAACAAACATATGCCATAAAAACCATGGCAACTAACTGAATCGCGGCGCACGTCCAACGTCAAAGCCAGCGTTAAATCTATATAAGGCGCCTTTCTCAAATACTCTCAATGGCTTTCAACGCAATAATGGTACCTATAAATCGTCAAATTCTGAGTTAAATCATGTGGTTGTTAATGTCTGTTGAATGTTTGGATGGCATACATTAATTTTTGCTATACGCGAACTTCCGATCTCGTTACACCTGTTTTTAGCTGTAGGCAATAGTCGACAAAGATCGGTCTTCCTATCCATGTTTTCCTTATTTTCGCTTTTTGTAGCGCAAAGCTTTGGTTCCGTTCATGCCTTTTGTACACAAGTGCTCAGGATATGTTGCTGAACTGTTCTATTTGGTATATTTGTTGAAAATCGTAACAAGGGTCATCTCGAAATAGTCATGAAACCTGAGTGACCTGTTCACTGCGCCGCAAATTCTTCGAACGTCGCCATTTTTACTTTCCTATTTTATATGAGATATTTTCATTTTTCCGTATCTTTTTCGTTTCTTAAGTTATTTAACTAAAATTTTCAGAGATGATTTAAACATAGCAGCAGAGGAAGTCAACGTGACATTGTGCCGACACATCATCAGATATTTGAAATATACGTAATTAATTTCAGCCTATTCATAACAAAATGCAAATTATTTGACGTGTGCCGGCAACTCAAACCAATGTCGTTAATGCTGAAAATTTCTAAGAAACTAGAGTAAATTTTTTGTAAATGATTTGTTGTAATGTTAAATAATAAACTTAACAGTTATATGAGTGAATTACTTTCTATTGGCGTTAAAAATTAACCGGCTATAAAATTTGTCACGGACTTTTGGGACAACCCTCGTATTTATCAATTCTCAAAGACCAATATATCTGCAGTTAGTACATTACTAGCCTAAGTACGTTTAGAATCTTCAAATTGTAACTTCGTTTAAATCTGAGTCCTGAACAAGATTGAATTTCTGAAAAAAATGCTATTTCAGCGCATTAATACAACACTAAACGGTCGGAACATTTTAATTGAGCTTTGCCATAATGCAGTAGTATCTAGTGAATTTGTAGGTCATTGCCATATTTCAGCATGTCAATTAAAATGTGCAGATGTGTCTTATGTTAAGATCACATGCACGAGGCACCATCAATTAACCTATATACGCTTATCATACTATACATAAAGAATATCCTTTATATTATTAGTTTTAAAGATTTTTTTGACAGGTCATATGGCCCTATATAAACGGTTGTTAAATATAACCCAAGCCGCTAGGCCATATAACCTGTCAGAAATATTTATAACGAATTTATAATACATCAGGCATCATTTTTAGAGGAATAGAGCGAGATTTCTTTATAAATCGACAGCAGTCATGTATTTAATCTATACCGAAATCAGCCGTATATTTCATTAGTTATAAAGATTGTTGACAGGTTATATGGCCCCATATAAGCGGCTATTTGTAAATATAACCCGAGCCGCTAGGCAAGGGTTATATTGCAAACAGCCGTTTATATACGGCCATATAATCTGTCAGCAATCTTTATAACGAATTTATAATACAGCAAGCATCATTTTTTAGAGAAAAAAGTAAGATCGACAACAGCCGTGTATATAAAAATTTATAATACTACACATTTGTAACATCTCTTTTCATTGGATAATCGTGACGTTTATATAGTTTATATACACGGCTGCTGTCGATTCATGAAGAAATCTTACATTTTTCCCTAAAAAAATGATGCTTGCTGTATATAAACGGCTGTCTGCAATATAACCCTCGCCAAACAGCTCGGGTTATATTTACAAATATAGCCGTTTATATAGGGCCATATAACCTGTCAACAATCTTTTTAACTAATAATATGAACGTCACGATTATCCAATGAAAAGCGACGTTACAAACATGCAGTTTTTTTAAATAGTATTATAAGCGTATATAGGTAAAATGAATGGGTCTAGTGCCTGTGGTTCTCATACAAAGACTCCAGCTAGGGGTCCGGGTTATGCATGCAAACAACCGTTTAAATAAGGCCATAAAACATGTCAAAACTATAAATTATACTGTTAACTCAAACGTATACAAGTCCGTATTGACATTAAGAAAATAATTATGCTTTACGATTAGTATTTCCTTCATATATTACACGGCCCAATTGATACAGCTACTGCCGTTTTTAAGAGTACCAACATATTATAAGTCATAGAAACATTCCAACTTTACTGGTGGAGGAATACCCCAGGTGTCCCTCTGTGCATAATTTCAGGCATAAGCGGTCACCAGAGCAGAGCCAGGGATGTTCTATAAGCTAGTTGGATAGCTTTTTCACATGACAGAATCCAAAGCTGCAAAGCACCTAGGTGGGATTCAAACCCACAGAAGTGAGGGGCAAGTGGTTTGAAGTCAAAGACCTAATCAACTCTGCCATGAACTTCCCATAAGTATGGTGGCTGATTTGTGCTATTCGTGTTTTCGGCCCGCGACCCCGCCAAGCTAAAAGTCGAAAATTAACAAGTTAAAATGGCGGGGGCGCGTAGCGAAAACACGCTAATTAGCGCGGGCGCGGGGCGAAGTTAAATAAATAAAACTTCACTGCCCGCCCCCGCTAATTAGCGTGTTTTCGTCACGCGACCCCGCCAAGCGAAAATTAAAAAGTTAAAATGGCGTGGGCGCGGAGTGAAAACACGCTAATTAGCGAGGGTACGGGGCAAAGTTTAATAAATAAAACTTCGTCCTGCGGGGACGCGGAGCGAGATTTAAGAAATAAAACGGCGGTGTCGCGGGACGAAAACACGCTAATTAGTGCGGGCGCGGGGCGAAGTTCAAGAAATAAAACTTCGCAGCGCGCCCCCGCTAATTAGCGTGTTTTCGTCGCGCGACCCCGCCTCGGAAAAGTCGAGAATTATCAAGTTAAAATGGCGGGGGCGCGGAGCGAAAACACGCTAATAAGCGGGGGCGCTAATTAGCGTGTTTTCGCTCCGCGCCCCCCGTCGTTTTATTTCTTAAATTTATTAAACTTTGCCCCGTGCCCTCGCTAATTTGCGTGTTTGGCACAAATCAGCCACCATACATAAGACTTTTGCTAAATTCATTTGATATAAAAAGTACCTTTTAAACATATATATACCATTTGCACACAAGAAAAGAAAATATAAGCAAAACAATTTTCACAAACTTGTTTCAAATTTTTATTTCAGAAATATACAATTTCATAATGTATAAATTCATTTTTGAAAACTGGTCATACAATACACAATCAAATTATACATATATCAATGGAACTTTATACTGTCACCATTAAGAGTACTCTTAAAGTTGAAAGACATATATAAATATGTATTTTACCTTGCATAACCTATTTACTTTATAGCATAATGTCAGTGACGTCATATGGTGTTATTTCAATCTAGTGTCCAGAAATGGTCAATATTTTTTTGCAATATTCCCCAAGGGTGAGTAATCTATACATACTTAAGAAAACATACTGTTTTAGTTCTCTCCCCTAGCCACTCTGCTCTACAGTTAAGAAAGCATAATGTTTTAGTTCTCTCCCCTGACCACTCTGCTTTACAGTTTTAGCTGGGCATAAAATACATTTTGATATGATAAAATTCAATGATGAACAGCTTTCAAAGTAATATTACCAGTGATGTAGGTAATAGAGATAAGCAGCTCCTATATACTCCATTGAAATATCACTCATGAAAATCAAAAAGAGAAAAATTAGGCATTTTGTAGCAAGTTAAACTTAATGTATGTACATTTGATCCTTTTATAGTATACACCAATGTCCATTTGAAAGTTAAATCTTTTATCTATTGCTGCATGTTAAAATATTGGTACCTTTCCATGCCTTTCACTAAGAAAAAACTTAGTTGAACGTACACACTGAGCCAGTTTTTTCATCATATGAATAGTTTTGTAACAAAAATGAACAAGAGGGCCATGATGGCCCTGAAGTCGCTCACCTGTATATTGTCCCCCCGGAGCGGGGCCAGTTTAAACCCCAGGGCTTTTATTTGAACAAACTTGGTAGACACTTATAAGAAGATGTTTCATGCTAAACAGCTAAGGTCTAGCTAGTTGGGTTTTTTAACAGAAGATTTTCTAAGTTTTTTCTTTACACATATATTTAAAAACAATGACACCCCTGGGGCAGGGCCAGTTTTGACCCCAGGGCTTTTATTTGAACAATATTTGTAGACACTCGCTAGAATATGTTTCATGCTAAATGTCTAAACTCTAGCTTTTCGTTTTTTACCATGAAGATTTTTAAGTTTTTGCTATACACATATAAGGAAAATCAATGTCCCCCGGGGCCGGGCCAATTTTGACCCCAGGGCTCTTATTTGAACAAACTTGGTAGACATCCATTAGAACATGTTTCATGCTAAATATCTTAGCTCTAGCTCTTTGGGTTCTTTAAAAGAAGATTTTTAAGTTTTTACTATATTCATATAGGGAAAATCAATGACCCCCTGGGGCGGGGCCAATTTTGACCCCAGGGCTCTTATTTGAACAAACTTGGTAGACATCCATTAGAACATGTTTCATGCTAAATATCTTAGCTCTAGCTCTTTGGGTTCTTTAAAAGAAGATTTTTAAGTTTTTACTATATTCATATAGGGAAAATCAATGACCCCCTGGGGCGGGGCCAATTTTGACCCCAGGGCTCTTATTTGAACAAACTTGGTAGACATCCATTAGAACATGTTTCATGCTAAATATCTTAGCTCTAGCTCTTTGGGTTCTTTAAAAGAAGATTTTTAAGTTTTTACTATATTCATATAGGGAAAATCAATGACCCCCTGGGGCGGGGCCAATTTTGACCCCAGGGCTCTTATTTGAACAAACTTGGTAGACATCCATTAGAACATGTTTCATGCTAAATATCTTAGCTCTAGCTCTTTGGGTTCTTTAAAAGAAGATTTTTAAGATTTTACTATATTCATATAGGGAAAATCAATGACCCCCTGGGGCCGGGCCAATTTTGACCCCAGGGCTCTTATTTGAACAAACTTGGTAGACATCCATTAGAACATGTTTCATGCTAAATATCTTAGCTCTAGCATTTTGGGTTCTTTAAAAGAAGATTTTTAAGTTTTTACTATATGCATATAGGAAAAATTAATGACCCCCAGGGGCGGGGCCAATTTTGACCCCAGGGCTTTAATTTGAACAAACTTGGTAGACATCCATTAGAACATGTTTCATGCTAAATATCTTAGCTCTAGCTCTTTGGGTTCTTTAAAAGAAAACTTTTAAGTTTTTACTATATGCATATAGGAAAAATCAATGACCCCCCAGGGGCGGGGCCAATTTTGACCCCAGGGCTTTTATTTGAACAAACTTGGTAGACACCCATTAGAAGATGTTTCATGCTAAATATCTTAGCTCTAGCTCTTTGGGTTCTTTAAAAGAAGATTTTTTAAGTTTTTACTATATACAAATAGGGAAAATCAATGACCCCCTGGGGCGGGGCCAATTTTGACCCCAGGGCTTTTATTTGAACAAACTTGATAGACACTCACTAGAAGATGTTTCATGCCAAATATCTAAGCTCTAGCTCTTTGGGTTTTTTAGAATAAGACATTTAAAGTTTTTTCTTTTGGTTGTCATGGCAACCAGAGTTCTGCATGGAATTAAATTCTGTGAACAATTTTCAAAGGTGACCACCAAAGGAACATTCCTGTGAAGTTTGGATGAAATTGGCTCAGTGGTTTATGAGGCGATGTCATTTAAAGTAAAAGTTTACGGACGACGGACGGTCAACGGATGGACGAAAAGTGATCACAAAAGCTCACCCTGTCACAAAGTGACAGATGAGCTAAAAAGTAGTTTTCTCTAAAAATTGATGTATCATTTATTTAATTGGGAACTGTAAATGATTTTACCTGCAGCCATAGACATAGAAAATGTATTATTTTACTGATTTTGATATCCAGTTAATAAGTTTTACTTGCTTCAAGTTTTAAGTTTAGCAAGCACAGTGATATCTTAACTGGCTAGGAAGTTGCCTATCTCTGTTATCTATGTCTCTGGTATTACATAGCAGTGAAAAATTACCTTAAAATGTTACTTTGGCATAATAAACAAAACAAGAGGGCCATGATGGCCCTGAAGTCGCTCACCTGTATATAGGCCCCCGTAGCGGGGCCAGTTTAAACCCCAGGACTTTTATTTGAACAAACTTGGTAGACACCCATTAGAAGATGTTTCATGCTAAACATCTAAGGTCTAGCTGGTCAAGGTTTTTCTTTACACATATAGTTAAAAACAATGACACACCTGGGGTAGGGCCAGTTTGAACCCCAAGGGCTTTTATTTGAACAATCTTTGTAGACACTCACTAGAAAATGTTTCATGCTTAATATCTGAACTCTAGTTATTCGGATTTTTTGAAAAAGATTTTTAAGTTTTTGCTATACACATATAAGGAAAATCAATGACCCCCAGGGTGGCGCCAATTTTGACTTACTAGAAGATGTTTCATGCTTAATATCTAAACTCTAGCTATTTGGGTTTTTTCAAAGAAGATTTTTAAGTTTTTGCTATACACATATAAGGAAAATCAATGTCCCCTGGGGCGGGGCCAATTTTGACCCCAGGGCTTTTATTTGAACAAACTTTGTAGACACTCACTAGAAGATGTTTCATGCTTAGAATCTAAACTCTAGCTATTTGGGTTTTTTCAAAGAAGACTTTTTAAGTTTTTACTATATGCATATAGGGAAAATCAATGACCCCCTGGGGCGGGGCCAATTTTGACCCCAGGGCTTTTATTTGAACAAACTTGGTAGACACTCACTAGAAGATGTTTCATGCAAAATATCTAAGCTCTAGCTCTTTGGGTTTTTTTAGAAGAAGATATTTAAAGTTTTTTCTTTTGGTTGCCATGGCAACCAGAGTTCTGCATGGAATTAAATTCTTTGAACAATTTTCAAAGGTGACCACCAAAGGAACATTCCTGTGAAGTTTGGATGAAATTGGCTTAGTGGTTTATGAGGAGATGTCATTTAAAGTAAAAGTTTACGGACGACGGACGGACGGACGAAAAGCGATCACAAAAGCTCACCCTGTCACTTTGTGACATGTGAGCTAAAAACACGTCTTTTAAGCTAATAGAGCATATTAGAGTTGCTAGTTTTCTGCTGATATTTTAAAATAAAATTAAAATGAATGTAATGTTTCAATATTTCAACTTTTTTACAATTTCCTTTTTGCTAGAAATTTCTAAAAACTAAATATAATATTTTCTATGATAGTGTTTTGGAACAGTTTTTCCCCTTTCCAACATTTTTTAGAGGTGAAAAACATTACATGTATGTAATACCATGTGTAACCAGAGAAGTTACTTTTAATATTAAGTTTCTGTTTTCACAACATAGTGCATGCAAACTGTCAACAAGTTTTCCACTGATGTTCAAGTACTGGTGGTTCTTTTCTGTCTGTCAATCATCCAGATCTAGTTCAAGATCTTCTATTTCTTCAAGAATCATCTTCTTTTTGCCAATTTTCTCCAACTGTTCCTTCTCTGGGTTTTTTAGTTCACCACTTTGAATTTTCTTTTCCAAATCCTCAATCTGTTTTAATTTCTTTCTAAGGTTTTTCAATTTCTTAGCTATTTCTTGCTTATCACTACTCTCCCCAGACTGTTTAGTAACTTGAGAATCTGATTGGTCAGTATTTTTAGACTTTGCACCTGATTGGTCCTTGTTTATATTAATTCCAGCCAATGACTGAGTGACATTTTGAATGGAAGTTCCTGATTGGTTACCATCTTGCTGTTGTTTCTTTTTCTCTTTTCTCTTGGCATTTTTCTTGGCAGCTTTCGACATTGGCTCACTGCTGTTGACTTGTGTTTTTACACTTCCTTCACTAGAGTCTAATCCAGGTGGTAAAGAAGGTTTGCTCTTCAGCCACTGAACACCTTTGTTCTCATACCTAGAAAAGGAAATATAGGTATATAGATTAAACATAAATAGCTAATGAATGTGTAGTAAATGAGGATTATATGATTATAAAACCTTGCCTCAAGTGATTCTCTGTAAAAATGGTAAATCAAACTTTAGAAAACAAATTTTACATAAAAAATGGGGAAAAATTATATCTTTTATTTTTAAAGTTCTTTATTTCTCTTTCAAGTTGAAGTAATCAATTTCATAATAGCGACTGAACGTTTACATCAATTCCCCCAATTCATGATGACTTACCCTCATTTTTATTTTATTACCTGACCTTGGATCACTGCAAATCACCTTGGCCTTACCCACAGGAAACTTAATTTCTGGCATAACTCTTCTTCCTCACTATGTTGAACATTAATATTTGTGCCAAGTAGTATAAAAATTCCTCAAGGCATACATGGAAAATTTTCACTAGGGGAAACGGGGAAAAAGTGTTTCCTCTGCCCTTTTTCGGGTAAAACCTTCCCTTTTAAAACCGGGTTCATGTGTAAAAACTATGTCTCTAATTGGTAAAACATTTAGGTTCTACAAATTTATCCTTTGCATCAGTGATTTAAAAAAAATTAAACTTAAAAATCTTCTTGGTAAATGCCTTGCATAATGTTACCCTCATGTCTTATGCGAAAATATTAATCAATTTTGTGATTGTGAACATTTAAATTTTCCTAAATAATCCATTGGTTCAGGATTACATGTACAAATTGTCCAAACACAACAGTTACTGTCCAATTTCTATCTTATTTTTAACTATCTAGATGTATGTTTGACCTTGACCAAGGCCATAGGGACTCTACTGTCAACATATATTTTCATAATTTCATCTGCCCTTTGACCTCTATTTGTGACCTTGGCCTAGCTTCATAACAAGAAAGATTCATAACAAGAAAGAATCCAAAGTCCCTTTGTAGGTTTTGAGGCAATTTTTGATGAGTGTTGAATGCAAGATGTTTTACACTTACACAGGCATTTCTTCCTGCGGAACATAGCCATCTTTAACTCTTCTTGGCTTCCTCCAAGTGCCATCTGGTCTTCTGGTTGCTGGTATAAACATCTCACCTGTAATGGTACGTTAATTAATGTGTAAAATGCAATGATTGAATTAATTTTTGTAAATTTATCATTCTCAGACAAGTTTTTATTATAATAGGACAAAAAGTAAACTATCGGCACTTCACAGAGGCACTAATCTAGCCATTTAATCTTCTAAATCTATAGCTTAAGGTCTTCAGCATACCCATTTTATGGTTAATATACTATGACACTATGACATGACGTGAAGGCTGAAGACAGACCTGTAGCCTGGTGCGTCTGGAAAGTCCACCAATAAATGTGCCAGAAATTTGACATGCTCGTATTCATTAATCGAGCATGCCATGAAGTAAAGTGAAGCATACCTTGATGAAACTATATATAACAGGGTCAAAACACCATTTTTGGGAAAGGGGCCTCAGCCTTTTTCTTGGGGAAAATATGTGTGATTTTGGCATAATTTGGGAAAAGGGGTATCAAATTTAACACAACCTTTTAACAAGTTCTTCAAAATAGAAAAGCAAAAAGCACTGGGAAATACTAATCAGTCAGTAAAAGACCTTAATTTAACACCATCATTTAATTTTGTTCAAAATTCTGTGGGCACAGGAATTTTTTGACCATGTGATTACCAGATTGTTCTATAGTTACAGGTTAATTTGTGCCAACTGTTCAGAAAACATAACCCATATGCTTCCAAATTTTCTATAAATTACTTTTTTTAAAGATATTGAAAAAGGTGACATACTGACTTTTGTATTGAAAAATAAAAATGTTAAAAAACGGCATATAAAGTTTTGGAAGCCAGAACTACTAAATCTATAACACTATTGCCCTCGAATCTAGAATGCAAGTACTTTTATATGTAGTTTATGTAAAAATAATATTACAATGTACAGGAAATTGTTGGGAATGTGATATTTTATCTTATCTGCATTTACAGTTGTACCTATGTATAAGTGTATCCTTCTGTCCCAGGTTGTATGCATATTTCTTTTTTAAGTTGTTAAAATAACAAATAAAAAGACATTGTTTACTTTAACACACTACTCAATAAAGAAACTGTCCCATTCAAATTCAATGAAGTTTTATGGCACGGACACTAAAGAGGTGGCAGATTAATCATTTAATAACAAAAATCTAAGGGCATGTACAATGTATACAGATTACAGAGATTTTGTTATGGCTTATTTTATAACTGATATTCGGTCATATTCCCAATTGAAAATAGTATATTATTTTCCCAATCCACAAGAAAAAATCCCCAATTGAAAGTTACAAAATACAAATTTTGAATAAAAATTTCTAAAATCTTTGAAAATAAGGGCTTCTAAACTTTTATACTATTTTATAGTGTTTAAATGTGTCCTGCTTAGTGTAATCGATAACGATTTTGAAGCAGTATGATGTAGATGAATGTTTGAAGATGCCATGATACATTGATAGACCTACAGGCTAGACAGTGATTGTTTGAATTCATTTAATTTCTGCAAAATTTAAGCCATGCAATTTTCCCCTATTTTTAACAAAACATTGCTGAATTTCTCCAATCCATGGGTATTGGTCATGTTCCAAAAACCGGTTTAATATTTAAGAATAAAATGGACGAAGACGAATTGTGTGTGGTCCGAATCATTCTTATTTGATAACATGTTGATAACAGTACTATATGTTTTCAAATATACACCTGTACTTTCATCTTGAACGACTCCTGTTCTTTCTACCATATTTGTTGCCATTGTAACGCTGATTTTTTCTTAAATTTTTATATCAGAAAAAATGAAAAATGTTTCGTTCTTTAATCCAAGGGAGGTAACCTTGCTTTACAGTATCTATCAATTACCCAAAACCCCAAGTGCAAATACCCTAATGTACTAGCACATACATGTAGCTATCTATGTCTCCGGTGTATAATGCCAGAGACTTATATTACAGATTGGAACTGCACAGTACAATTATACAAGGTAGCTCAAATCTTCAGTGTGTGAATTTTTAAAAATTGCTTAGGTCTGTTATAAGTAAAAGGTTGTAAATTTTGCAAGTATAAAAAACTTGGACATTATCAGGTGATACACCTGATTATGTCTTCATACTAAAATATTTTAATATTATATTTTGCTTAAACAACTAATGGCCAATTTTTATGCATATCTGACCTGTATGTGCACACGGTGAAGTGTCTGGTTGGCTTTAATAAATGGGTGTCAATTATAGGATAAGTGCGATAAACAATTATCCAATTATAGTATTAGCGCGTTGAGTGCTACCGATAATCATGTGCACGTGTTATACGCGTATACTTGCTGTCTCATTTGTTTAGTAATACCACGGATTGTAATATAAATCCGTGGTAATACAAATCTTATTTTTTATATAGATCTATATTTTCATATATAGATCTTATTTACCAATCTTATTCACATACAGATATTATTTCATATAGATCTTGATGATTTTCTGAAAAATATATATAATATTTTCGTACAGATCTCATTCTTATACAGATCTTATTTTTCGTACAGATCTTATTTCTTATAAAGACCTATCAGAGGCGAACACAGAACAAGGTTAGCGTGTGGGCTGACATGCGGGTGGCAGATTTTGACCAAAACAACAAAAACAAAAACAATGTGAAAAAGTATGTTTTGAAGATTGAGCCACGTGACCAAAATTATCAAGATGCCTCTTGTATAGACCCTTTCATTTAAGCGATAAGCGTCGAGGAAGAGTTACTTCCCTTACCGGATGTGACGTAACTGGTGGATTGTTCTTTACAAAACTGCGTGCGTAAATGCTGATCGTTTAATTATGATTATAACCTGAAAAATTTGACTCATGCGTACAAAAATTTCATATCAAGAAAATAAATAATAAAAAAAAGATTAAGATTAATTCTTGCTATGTGGTAACACAACGGAATTTCAAAGTGAATATATCTATTAGATTTTCTCTAATGACAGGGCAAAAAGCTAGTTACTAAACCAAATTCTAATATTTTTAAACACCCATACACAGTAAAATTACCTTTAGCATTACTGAGACAAAGAAAAACAATAATATAAATCTATTTAATTTAAAAAAAATGTTAAAACATAAAGTAACAATTCTTTTGACTGTATACATGACTGTATACTATTTGTGTCGGCAAAAGGCACTCTCATAAAATCGTACATGACACCGATTGAATACGTAAACATGAATTACCAAATACGAATCATAAATATTTTGACACCTTACAAAAGTGACGTAATCTGATGTAATGTTATAACTCTAAGATATGCACCCAGGTGATTTATGATATCACAGCCAAGCGCCATTTGTATATACAACATATGTACCCTGTTAATTAACATACTACGGCCCAGTGGCGCTTGTATATTTTTATTCATCTTTTTTATTAATATCTTATCCAATTTCACAAAATTTTGGCAATTTCAATATACCCATCATACAAGAGTAAGGATTAAAATCGTCATATCCCTCTGTTAATGTACTTTATCGTATTGGCAAATATCCGCCGTATCCCCTAATGATGTTATCCAAGGGCGACAACTTGAATCCAATCTTAAATGAAAGGAAAAAAAAACAAGAAAAAAATACTTCACTTGCACAAATTACCTGATGCAAAAAATGTGATTATATATGGTGGAATTAATTGCTTTGATATAACAACTTTAAGCATCATCGGAATTGTGTTTTAACAGGCACGTTTATAAGTGCTGTATCTCTGGTTCCATGGCCCTTTTATTAGAAGTTGTTGACAATGAAACCAGTAAAATTGATAGTTCACCAAAAACGATAAAGTAATACCAAATAATATACTACTATAGTACATTCTTTAGTTTATAATTTGAGTCTTCACAGAGAAAAAATCAAATATCTTTCGGCTCAAAATAGGAGTCGTTACAAATACATAATATGTAAATTGTAATTAAAGCAGTGATACAGTACAGTATTGTGAATTTACAAGCATAATATAATTTTGAAGATAAATCAATGCTTATTAATTGATGTAGACCTATTTTATATATATTTTCTCTAATAAAATACAAGATTTATCTGTATATGTTGAATTTCATTTTGCATTTTTACCTTATTTTCTGCATTTGCATAACAATCTTGAACAATATATTTTTTTACATTTAAAAAAATTATAAGAATGAGCCATTAAGTGTGAAATGGTCTTTCCGAATTACAACCTTTGTGCTTTTATATATCTACTGTAGACATTTTATCAATTCATTTTCTTTGAAATAGCTTTAAAGAAAGAATAGCAAAGTGGTGTTTACCTCGCTACAATGGAAAACCCCATTTCCGTATTTAGCCATGCCTTTCTGGCGTTAAAGTAGGATTTGGGTAAATAAGGTTACTCTTCATCTTTTGAAACAAAGAAAGGCTATTCATCCGGATATTGCGCGCATCACGACCGGCTGAAAGAAAATTCAAAATTAAAGGGATCATTCAGGCTTTGAAATGATAAATTCATTCACAAATACATTAAAAACATTTATATTTAGCACTAAGTCTAGTGAAAATACCACAAGCGCTGACAGGAAAAGGAAAAGACCGGACAATGACAGGTTCAATTTTGACAGTTTTTCATGGTTTTCTTTCGTTTTCTTTCCCTTTGATTCGCATGTTTTTCCTGAAATATTCCTGTTAACGTGCAATAAGTGCTTTAGGAACTGGTTGAGTCCTATATAACTTCAATTTCTGTCTTAACCTTCATGAAGACGTAGAAATTTGGTGGGTCAAGTCAAAATGTAAAGAGATGGGGGGGGGGGGATTTTAGGTGTCCACCAGAAACATTATAGATCTTTAACATAAGTCTACTATGAAATTTGGTGCTACCTATGGCGCGGAAAGTTCTTATGAACTATGATTTGAGCATAACATGTTTAGTGTGCATGTAAACCAGATCTATCTTGCAGGTATTTTGTACTGTAAACAAAACAAATAAATTGGTGGTGTTCAACCTATCGTCGGAGCACTCGGAATATCCCGAAAATCTCCGAACGTAAAGGGAGACCACTGCGCACGCGTCGGCGTTTGGAAAATCCCGTCCGCCATTTTGTTAATCTCTAATCACAGTTGTTTAACGTTATTTTAATGTGCTTATTTATCAAAAAGGATATGTTAAAGTAACTTTTTATATTTATAATCGTTACTATAGTTGTTATCAATGAAATGCATGTTTACTTTCTGATTTTGCACATCATTCTCTCACCGGAAGTGTTATTTAGCAGACGCTAGCAATAGTCTAAATTATGTAGACGCTCATTAAAATTTAGCTCAAAAGGATTTCAAAATGGCGGCGCCCAGTTAACTAAGGATTTTTTCACAGCTCATTAGGTATAGGATATATATTTTTTTGAAATTTTCATTTACTTTTAATTTGATTTCATTTGAATTGATACGCGTCATACATGTTATCTAAGAGCGCTACAGCCCTCGCGGGGCCTTCGGCCCCGCTCGGACTTTCCGCGTATGAATATGTTAACCGTAAGGGTCAGTACTGCTAAACACGAAGCAGAAGGATACTTCAGTTATTTGGGATTTGGTTTTAGGAACAGCTGAGTCAATCAGCTCGTTTGTAGGTCAAATTATTAATATGAAATAGGCAAAGCCTATGAACGGGGAAGTCGTTAAAAATTCCTTTCATTTTTTCCATTTTAAAGGTGTCGTTCAGCATAGATCTGCAGAGGATGCGATTTTGCGCCATTGGCGCTAAAAAAATGGGAATGGCGCAGAAAAATCGGCAGCAAAGGGCCAAGGTTGCATACAGTACTGGACACGCGAAACCCGCAAAAGTCGCGTAATGCCGCGAGTGAAGTCTATGCCGCGACGGGACACTACGCGGTAAAACATCGCCGCATGCAAGTTCGCCGAATTTCATGGCGGTTCACGAAAAATCGCCGCGATGTATCACCGTAATTTACGGCGAATCTTCAGCAATAATTGTATTAGAAAGTACTACTTAATCATTCCCGTGGTCTTTAATTTTGAAAACTTTAAAAAAATCTTGTAAATGTCATGTATATTTATAAATATTTAGCATTTGAACATGTTCAGCATATACATTTTGTATACTTAAACAAAGCAATCAGGTGCTTGTGAAAATTAGTTAACAATAAAACGAGATTGAAATTACAAAAGGTAATTGGTACTACATGTACATCAAAGAACGCACGATAACAAATTGTCCAATTGTTATTTTGATAATAATACAAATGTAATTAAAATCCATTGTTTACTTTCGCACATATTCTATTTTAAGAACAATGCAAAGCGACATTTAGCACCGATTCACATGTGTAACTAATTATTACGTCTTACTCTAATACGCTAATTATGATTTTTGAAAATTGTAAAACATGCAATAAAACATTTCTGGTAGCAGCGGGGATTCTGTCATAAAATTGACTGAAAAAATAAATTTTTGGAAGCTGTGGTCCTTTCATATGCATTATTGTTTTGATAGCAGACACAAGTATTGCACAATATCTTCAAGATCATAAAAATGTAAATAAAATATCACAATCAAAATGCACTTACGATTAATAATATGTCAATAATTGACACAATCAATATCCAACATTTCTTTTTACTTGAGCAATAATTAAACATGTGTAATCATTCCTAAAAAATGACAAAAAGAAATGACAGTTTTTTTCTGATATATAAAAATGAGGTGGAAGTCAATCGAGTGTCGGCATTTCTTCGATGATTCGGCAACAACTACAGGTGTGTAAACATCAAAGATTCACAGATTCTTCAGAAGAGCCGACCAGTCATTTGTCAGAGGTCATTTTGTGTGTAAATTTTGTATTTGTTGTTTAACAATGGAAACATTATATTCCTTTTATTTATGGATGCTTCTTTTTGCGCGAGTGTTTTTGTGTCTTTTAGCGCTATGGAATTTCTACAATCGGCGATAATTTTGGGTAACTAACAATTAAATATTTTAACATTTTTAAAACAGGGGTGCAAATATCCGCCATTCAGAAATTATAGGAGACAAATCTTGCGTGTGTTATTTTTTACAGACGTGTAATAAATTGAGTAATGATCACCCGAGAGAACGAAATGTCCCGGTGATCCACTATAACTCTTCCAGGTCGTACGGGAATATTTATGCAGGATTAGTTTATCACATCGGTAATTTGACCATGCTTGAATTTATGTCTTATGTACTAACGTTTTCAATATGGGGATACATTTAGAAATGAACAAGTTAATGTTGTATCAAATATGTATCTTTTTATGTAACTAAATATCTTTTTACACATATTTATATCTCTACTTTAAACTCAATATGTATCCCCCCTAAAAAATATTTTTACACGAGTACATGTACACTATTTACCTGCCGATGGAGCCGCATACTTGTACTGCGTCGCATTTATACATTGAGGTCATGATTCCGCCATTCACGGAAAGTTTTTAACAGTGTTATTTGATTTCGCCGTGGTTATTTATATTTGCTGTTGGCATCAAAGATAAATAGAGAAAGGGCATTTTAGCAAATTACAAGATTTTCTTGATACAACTTCATGTAGATCTACTAATTAATTTTCGTACTTGTACATGTATATCTGGTTTCAAGTTCACAGAGTACAATTATAAATAGATCTACATTTATTATACAAATGAACATGTATTATCCCCCGCGAATCACAGCAAATGTTCACGGCAAAATCGCCGCGAGTTGAATTCGCGGCAATTGTCTCAAATTGTCGCGAATTCGCTCGCGTTATAAAGCATGAGAGTCCTACGCGAATTGTGCGGGTTTCGCGTGTCCAGTACTGTATAAAATCTCTGCTAGACTTAAATGAAAACAAAACTGTCCGCTCGGTTATTTAGTCATCCAGTCAAAACTGGTACCAAGAGCAGCACGTTACCCATTCCCCTGTAATTACGCATATTCTTGAGTTTATCCATTTCCCTATAGCTTTTGTTCACCTTATCTACTTACCGCATTTCTTCTCATAATCCCTTTCCCTCACAGATACTCATTTCTACTTCCGTAAATTTAATCCAATAATACAAACAAAAAAAATTATACAACTACTTAAGATTTAAAATGATTATCGGTAACTGAAAAAAAGTGTTTCTATTTTTAGAAAAGCTGTAAGTTACAGTATAATCTGACAGGTGTACAACTTGTTTCCCCTAAGGTCACTCAAGTTTACTCAAGCTTTGGCTGATGAAGTGTAAAAGAATATGTCTATTTCGTCATCAGAATATTTGACAGGGTGATTAACCAATCAGGGAAACATTGTGCATGACTTTTTTCATGATCAAAAAGTCTGTCGGCAAGTGTCTTTGATGTATGCTTTCTACACAGAGGCATACAAGGAGTAATAAAATCCGTTAATAAACATTGTGACAGGGACATTTGGTGCAAAGTAGGAACAATTAAATGGATAATGCACAGTATTAGACATTAGAAAATATGTGGATAAATTATGCAAATCAGATTTTTGAGCAGCCATTTGCAAAAATGTTTTGCCTGCAATTAATATTAGTTAGAAAGTTACTGTCTAGGCATTTTTTTTTAATTATTGGTTATCTTCTCTGTTTAATACTGAATCATAAGTGAACCACTTGTCATAAAATAGGATTTAAGTTCCATTACAAAGGAAATTCAATTATCTACAAACTTTTTAACAGTCATTTAGGTCAATGTTTACTTATTTTCCCCAAGGCCCATACTTTGGTCAAAATGGCCCATCATTTTCAGACCAAGTGGGCCCAGGGCCCAGTACTTTCAAATTCTCGGCAGATCTCTGGTTCAGTATTTCATGCATCGCTTCCGTTTGCACTCGGAACACTCGATGTTTATTATTTATCCGAAAAGTTGAGATTTGTTCCGTTATCGGAATACACCGATCATTGAGTTACATTGTAAATGGCGGCCCCTATCTAGAACTGACACCAAAAATTTAATTGAGGTATAGAATTCTATATATTTTTTAATTGTTTTTTATTTGATTTTCTTTTAAATATGCATGTGTAGTCTATAGCCGGGCAAGCCAAAGCCTGGGCCCGCTTTGCGGGCCCTGACTTTGACTTCCCCGTGTAAAATTATCTCCAGTGGAACTGTTTCTTCAATTATTAAGAACAAAATAACTATATCACCGATATGTGTCAACCAATATCCATGTATCGAGTCTATCGACAATATGCTTTGCTCTGAATCAATGAAATCTCTAGGATGTGCGGAACCTTTGTGTAAATACATCTCATCAGTCATAATTTGATTTTCATTTTCATCAGTGCATAATCAAAACATTGTCACTTCTACCAGGGTGTTCGATAGACTCTGAAACTCAACCTTGGGTGAACTTGCATGCAGAGACACTGGTTTTCATTATTAACAGATTGGCAATCCATATCTTCAGTAAAAATCGGTTATAAGTTTCAGGCTGTAGATTAAAATATCCTCCTTGATTGATGCCCATATTGGTTATTTTCGTTTGCACATGATCTGTTGCCTCAAATAAAAATAAAAATCATGTGCAGAGACTTTGGAAAAATTGCATCCCTGTGAAATACGCAGGATTGTGAGTGACTGGGCATGCAGATATCATAATTATTATTCATATAAGCTGTAATTAAGATCTAAATTTATAAGCAAATCAGCTTAGTTTAAAACAGCCTAAGAAATGATTGACTAGCTTTTTACTTTCTGCCTTCGCTGATTTCAACCACTGTGGCATTATAATGTACTTCTGTCTTCTATTTTCAGTGATGGTGATGATGATGTAGAAGTATTGTCTGTGAAAAAGCCTAGGAAAGAGAACACTGGGATTACTGGTTTGTTGTTGATCTTATAATTACTATACCTGTTTAACCATGACACAAGATGTTAATGTATTCTAAAGTTTCTCTTGTATAATATTTTGTTAAAATTCATTTTCCAGACATGTCAGGACATATTGTCCTGAAAAAAAAAACACTTAAAAATCACGAGGCAATAAGATGCAGGGGAACATAAACACCTCTTCTATTATAGATATAATTAACTTATAAGGCATTAAAGATCAGTATTAAAATCATTGTTGGCAACTTGGTAATTTGTCGAAACTTCTGGTTGTCACTTTCACAAATTTATGAAACATTTTATTTGATTAAACGCCTTTTTCAATAACAATTTTCAATGGCGTTGTACAATGGTACATATAAAACATGTAAATGGATAAAATCTTACTAAAATACATTAAACATAATTGAGAAATCAATTCAAACAATGAAAATTTATATTAATCATGTGTTGTATAGACTGTGGTAAAATAAATTAAAAAAAGTTAATTTTTATTATGTCCCATCTACAGTCATATACATGTATGTTTATAATGAGATGTTAATCCTGTTTAATTTTACATTAATAGAAACCAGATACCTGTGGTTTTGCTTACTTAATTGGGAAAAGGTCATAGCCTCTCAGTGATTTTTTTCACTGTATTTTACAGCCGAATAAAGGCTGTTTCCCCTAGCCCAAAATAGGTATATTTTCCCCTTAAAATGCATACATTTCCCCTAAAATGCCCCATGCTCTACCTTACCAGAACCATGACTTAACAGCATCAGCAAGAAGACAGAAATTTGTCTCTATAGATAGCCTGCATGTTAAATTGAATTAAAATGAATTCTTTTAATAAAATGTGTGAGTAAATTCTATTTTCAGTTGTTGGAATTTGATTTCATGTTTCTCCCTTTTCTGATTTATCGCGCTATATTTTCCCCTTCAGAAAGCCACAGGTCGCACAGGTTGTTTTGAAAATTGGAAAAAAAATCACTGTCTCTTGATTTTGGAAAAAATATATGGCTAAAATTGCTAATTTGGGAAATAAAAGATCCGGCATAAGTTCAGATTATTTGGAAAACTGCAAGGTTTATAAGAAAATTTCAATAGGGAAAAGGTCTTTGAATGGCCTCAGTTATGTAAAATTCACATGTTTTAAAGAAACAAGTTGCATGTATTTTAATAACAAATCTGTTTGCATTGAAACAAATTCACAAAAATGTTTTAACAATTTTACAGACACTCATTCTTACAAATATTTTGTCTGTTTGAATGTAGGTCTATTCACCAGTGCTACAGTACAAAGTATGTCCGACTGGGTACAAAGAAAAACCCCAAATTTGTTTAACTGGAGTTCAAGTAGGAATAAGGCAGTAAGCCTGCATGGAAATGGATTCAATGGAAGAAGTAATGATAAAAAAGGAATGGAGTCATCGTCCCACCATAGGTAAATTATTTTAGGTTACAACTTCATCACATGATCAGAAAATTGCGGTAAATGGAAAGTATGAATTGGTATGTTTGTGTCAAACCTTGGAACAAGTTTCATTATATGTATATTTAGTGACAGTTTGTAGCACTGTTGG